TTACCATCCAGGCTGATGAGTTGTGACAGCACAGGCTGGACAGCAACATCCCATATTGAATCAGGAGGGAACTTGACACTGCCTGGGGCAAACGCATAATAGTATAGATTGCATACTCCGCCTATAACTATCCTTTGAAGCTTCACAGCTTCTTCTAGCTGCTTTGGATTTGCACGTCTCCGAAGTTGACTTAGCAGAGGCTGGCAGAGGGTTCCAAGGTTCTTTGGGGTAGCTTTGCTATCAGCCAAAGTAAGGTAGATGTACCTATTCCAGGCAAAATTTGCCTCTTGCTTCGTGAGAAAATCTGTTGTGTTGAAAGCAGATTGGACAAGAGTCAGCCAGGGGCCGTAGTATTGCCATCTCTCCAAAGGACATCGCATGTAAAGAATAATGGCGCTCCATATCTGCGGCACAGCTGAAGCGCTTTGTCTGTCTTTGAGCATTTCCTGTAACCTTTGGATATAGAACTCGATATAGGCTTGATCTTCGTTTGTTGTTTGGAATATCTCGCTGGCTTTCCGCATCAACTGCTTCTCAGATCGGAGGGCAAACCCAGCTTCAGTAGCGAGGCTAATGGCCTGTCCTCGAATATCCTTGACGGAGCTGAGCATATCTGCAAGCACGTTCTTCAGCCAATTTGAGTGGGTAGCCATATGCAAACTTGACTGCTTGGCCAGACGCCTGTATATATGTATTCTACTCATCACAATGCTCTTGCCTGTGAGATGGTCTTCTATTTGATACATTGCAGTGACCAATCGTCCCACTCGGTCAGACGTCATGACTTTGGCGGAAAAATTTTGGAACGCAACGACTTGCATCAAATGTCGAGCAACATCCTTGGGAGTGTTGGCGTCTTCGAACGCGCGAATAGAGTGGTCGATAACGAAGACTCCAAAGTCAGAGGTGAGGGTCGAGGCGATGGCGGGGAAATGGAGAAACGTGGCGAGAAGCGTCAGGGCATGGTTGATTAAGGAAGAATCGGGGGCTCCAGTGCTGCTTTTGGATGTCATATCGCGCTGGATAAATTGCATAAACAAGCTCATCTTGTCTTGTAAGGCAACTCGATCGGGAAGGTTATTGGAAGCCTTCAGGGCTCTTGAAAGCATCATATAAGCGTCGAGCTTTGAATCTCGGTCAGAGCCGGCCAGCTGCTTTATCGTTGAGTCCAACATTTCGATTATGTTAGGCTGGCCTGAGGTCGCATCAAAATCTCCACTAGACGACAGAACGAGACGGTTCGGAGAAGATGAAGGTTTGAGAATGCCTTTGATAGGTCTCGAAGCCGGCGAGGGGACCGAGAGAGGCGAGGATTTGTGAGTCTTGTCGATTGATCGATAGTCAACTGGGTCCTTGTAATCGGTATGCGCGGACCATACGACTTTCTTCCTCGTCCTACTTGACATCAATTTTGAGTCAGGCGCATCGGTCGAGGTCGGGGTGTTTGCAGCCGGCGGAGTCTGGAGACTGTCCTGAGGATCAGATGAAGGAGCGCGGCTCAATATGGACTTAACCAACCCGTCGCCTTCTTTGCCTGTTTCTCGCGGTGGCGTCGGGGGCCGCGGTAGAAGCGTCTCGAGATTCGATGCTGGAGCCGGGGCTACTGAAGATGCCATGGCTGCGATGCAGCGTCGGCGATCTAGAGAGCAGTGAATCGGCCAAGGGAGGATCGTCCACTAGACATTGGGATCTCGCAGGGTCCGTCCGAGATAAGTTGAAACTCGAGAAACAGAGAAAAGGAGTCACCACCCACGCCACCTAAACTTGCATCGCAGCCGTACGGTTGTGGCAGCGGTATAGCGCCTCTCGACCTCTGAGCTGCAAACTTGGAGCTGGGGAGTGAGGTACGGAGTGACACGGCCCATGAATTTTACCGAGAAATCAATTAAACAAGACGCGATCACGCTCGGTGCACGCTTCAACGCGCGTTTTAGTGGCTGCCCCCACTATATGATAGCGGCGGAAGGGCCTGGCACGGGTACAAGGCATTTGGTGTTAACATGTAGGCTGTCTTAGGTACCTGGCAGCTCAATTAGGGGCTGCAGTCCAGAGCGACTTGCAGCTGCTCCAGCAGTCGCTTATCGCCCATCTCAGCCGCCATGGCGGCACCAATCGCTGGTTAGTCGCCACAGCAGCGCCCGAGGCGGTACCGAAAGAAAGCAGCAAAAGGGCACTGAGCTGTTCAGTTTGTGCTGTGTACCTACGGCACAAGGCAGACAGAATAGACCGTTGGCGTTTTTTGAAGCAACACTGAGCCTACGAACCAATACTCAACACGGATCCTGGCTCTCGAGCAAAATTAGATCAGAATTCCTTAGAAACTCACCGAAAATATACGGGCCTTTCTCCGTCTTATTAATCTCCTTTTTGGTGCGCTACGCCCGGCTCTCATGACTTTGGCCAACAATCGTCACACCTGCTTCATCGCCTTTCTCCGTTCTTAACACGTCTTCCTTTCTCTATTCTTTCACCCTCGGATTATTAATGAAAGCGTCTTGCTAGTCCTAATATTCAAGTGAGTTGCGCAGCTATATCGGCGGCGGCCAATCAGAAACACGTCCGTTCATGCTATAGCCAGCAGTCGTCACATCACTTGACCCTTGGACTGCCTTTTTGGGTCTCGGATCTCCGTGGGCCTCTTTACGCGTAGACCGGCTCACCACGACCGTTTTTTGGACATTCAATCAGCTTAATTTGCATCATGTCCGGTCTACAGTTGGGCACGGCAACGGGCCCTGGTGAGTCTTTTCAGCCGTCGCGAAAGGCTTATGGCTGCATATGGCCTCGCTAACTCTACACAGCTAAGCTTAAGGCAGTGACTGAACTGGTCAATAAGCTGACAGAAGATCTCGATAAGGCCTCGCTTCTCCCTAAAGGTATGTCGATACCGGCATCTTATTTGGCTTAGGGACAGCCCTTTTTAACTGTTTCTCAGACCGAGATGAGGCATTGGAGGAACTCAAGATCTACGGACGAGATCCACGGAATTCGGATCCTATTTTCACCAAGGAGGTTAGCAGCTACCAGTATAAACTCCTTTTTGCGAGGAAATTTAGGCTGACGTTTGCAAGGGTATCTCTATGCTCTTACGGTATGGTTTCGAAAGCTCTTCTAGTGATACGTCTCGAGCTGCCTTGAGAGTTTTGGCCAACTCCATGCTGCTAAAGCCCGAAACACGGCGGATGCCTGTAGACCAGGGATTCGCTACGAAAGTTTGTGAAGGACTGAAGACTGATAACTGGGATAACGAGTTTCTCCATTCCCGCGTCTTATTGCTTTCCACTTATGGCACTAAAGAGCATCTAAGTAATCTTATTACTGAGCATCATCTTGCCGAGAATATTACGGAGAATCTCGATCGCCATGCCAAGCTGGCCGCCACCAGACCTCAGCAGCCACAACCTATGGAGGAAATGGCACTCTCCGAAACTCTCAAGCTGCTTTTCAACGTCACTCACTTCTGTAAAGATGAGGCTTCTCACTTCGATACCGCCGTTCCACACATTGCTGCGTTATTATGGAAGCAAGATATCCCAAGTTCCAAACCCCTGGACTCGACCTTTGGACCATTGGTCAACGCCCTACTCAATCTTGATATCTCTACGGCCACAAACCAAGCTGCTATATACCCAAGCTCTGAACCCAACAAGGTTGCTGCTAGGCTGGTATCTCTCCTCGACACCGCAATGGCAACTTACAACGACAAGGAACTCGAGACCACGGTCACCCCTCTAATCAGCGCACTGCTCAAAGTTAGTGAGTATGCTCCTAGCTCGGTGCGCGAGTACATTGGCAGCGAAATATTGCCAACTGCAGAAGATCGTAAATTAGTCCTCGGCAGAGGCCAGAAACTCTCCGGAAGATTGTTGAAGAATTCTACCAACGCAATGACACCCGCGTTGCGAGATGCAATTGCTCACCTTCTCTTCGAGATATCGGATAAAGACGCATCGAAATTTGTAGAGAACGTTGGATACGGATTTGCTTCCGGCTTTTTGTTCAAGAATAACGTGCCTGTTCCTGCAAGTGCGTCAACGACCTTCAACGCAGATGACTCCACGGGTGCTCAAAGGGAGGTGAATCCCATAACTGGACAGTTTATGGACCAGGAACAGGTTCCAGAGCTGCCACCAATGACTGAAGAGGAGAAGTTGCGCGAGGCAGAAAGGTTATTCGTGCTCTTTGAACGGTAAGTCCCTTTGTATCCCAAATAGCACTGGGTAACTGACAGTTGGCTATTAGACTCAAGAGGACTGGCATTATAGACGTTGAGAATCCCGTTGTGCAAGCAATGCAAGAAGGAAGATTCCGTGAACTCGATGACGACGAGGTTGAGGAGCTTGACTGAGTGACCCCTATCAGACAGATTATATATATATATATACCTGGGCACACTATATAGCGATTGAAGTCTCAGAACATTTAGAGTCTTAGCGAGTGGCAGAGCTCTTGTATACTTAGATTAATAGACATTGGCTCTATATGGATTCAGTGAAATGGAAGTAAATACCCACTGGCAACTTGTATCGCGAGTCTTCCCCCCCGAGCCTGGCATCAAAGATATAACAACTTCGAGCATGCATCCATAGGCCGTACTGAACATAGGCCTCAGGTAATTGATAACTCAGCAGAATCATGAAATAAGTTTGTTGGCTCATTTTTGAGTCCATATTTGCCTCAGGAGAAGAGCACAAGCTGAAAGGGAGAGGTTGCAATGCTCCCACGTGGCGATACATAGACCGCACGTGAGATAACATTCCTTCTCAGCAAACAAACTGCCTCCCAAAACAACCAATTGTCTAGGCCTATCTAGATTTTTACTTCTTGGTCTTCTCAACTGGACCTGGTCGCATAAAAGCACGGTCAAGCTGAGATTCCCACAAGGCAATTGATCAGCAGCCATGCCTCGGCTGAATAACGAAGAAATAATGCCTGAGTAAAGAGTTCGAAACTCTATCCAGTGACTCTAAAGCTAATTCCCAACAAGTTTTCTCAGCGACATGAATAACGATCAGCCAGCTTCATCGCCGTACCTTATGCGCTCACCAGTACTCTCGCCAACAATTCCATCATCGACCTATCGGTTCGCGTCACTGATCAACTCTCCATTCTCGCCAATCTACAGCGTAGTTGGAGCTCTGGCACCTTCAGCCATGGAGCGCGATGATGCCCTGGAAGATGACACAGAACGTCCACTACAGCCCAGAAAGGCGCGAAAAGTGTCACCACATGCAGTGTCTGCCGAACCTAGAACTTCGACCAGACTCCGCCTAGCTACTCTTCAGAAGAAGGAACCTAAACCCGTTTCCCAGAAGCCGTCGTCTTCAGCAAAGCGCGAGCTCCGTCCCCAAAGAAAAGTTGAAGAAAGAGGCGCAGTTAAAAAGCGCGGACGGCCAGCAAAGATGGCGATAACGCCACGTAAAAAGAGGGCCGCTAAGGGAGATGAGTCTGCTCAAGATACAAAGACTGGACGCAAAGAGTGGGAGGTTGAGCAAATAGTCGACTCTAGGATTGATGCAGAAACAATGCAGCACTGGTTCAAGGTCAAATGGAAGGGATACGCGAGCAAGGATAATACGTGGGAGCCAAAGAAGAACCTGACCAACTGCAAGTCTCTGCTAGAGAACTACGAGAAGAAAGGGAAGAAACGAACATGAGAGTAAATCCGGAGTAAATCGGCTCTAATATGGGGTTAGGCCTTGGGCGGTAGAAAATATTTGTATATGGGCATATGAGAGGCCTCATTTCCAACTTTTCGATTCAGGGTAGGAGTCGATCTAGGCTGTGGGAAGGGAGCCAAGGACGATTATAATTCGGCAGTTAGCAGACGAAACTGTCAAAATGATGGTTTCAGCAGGTATTCGCAAGAGTCCAGATACCAGCTGCGAAAAGGCGATAGCCAATTTGATGGCTAAAACAAATAAAACCCAATACAATGAATAATACATTGGTGTGCCCACCAACCCTCGTCAACAAAAAGCAAATGAAACATTCCAATGGCTTGTTGCGAGATTTTGCAAGGACAGCTGCATTGACAACTTGAATTAGCGAGGCGGTCTTTCAACCAATTAGCTTGCGGCCTTAGCTCAGCTGGGAGAGCGTCAGACTGAAGTCTCAACTTCAAGTCTCTTGATATCTGAAGGTCGTGTGTTCGATCCACACAGGCCGCATTGCATTTATTTTTGTAATTTTTTTTTCATCCTTTAAAGACTAAAGCAGCAACGCGAGGTGAAATCTCTTCTTCTTTTTTCTTTTGCATCGCATTTACTATAAAGTGCATTTTGGGGCTTTTCTATCTCAAGCCTCAAGACATCATGAGGTGTGTAGTAAGGTTTATAGGAACAAACAAATGGGATATAGCAGGCATCATTTTCATATACAGCAGTATATCTGGATCATTCAATTGTTGCATCAAGCAATCAGGCTATTACTTCCATCATCGCAACCATCTCTGTCTATATCGCTAAATCGCAGACGCTTGTCTTATAATTTACAAAAGCGAACCGGGTATCTAGTCTAGCACCACCATCCATGCATGTCATACATACATCCATCCTCTTACAACTGCGGCTTCTGCAGCGCATATCCATGCAAGGCCTCCATGACACCCGGAGTATGGGGATCCTCTTCTTCGAATAGCCTGGCCAGTTTGAACCCAAGTTTCCCCAAAACGTGTTGACTTGCGCCGTTATCAGTTGCCGTAATCGCCGTGATGTGCTCTGGCTGCAAATCGGTCTCGCTGCCCACTATTGTGCTCTTCTCCACCTTGATCTCGACTTCTTCTCGGGGAAGCGCCCAATATGCTTTCAAAAAGGCAGTCATGAGTTCGGTCGCAAAGCCTTTGCCCCAGAACTCGGTTCGAAGCAAGTATCCAATTACAGGCCAGCCAAGCTCGCCGACTCGCATGTGGCTTCCGCCGGTGCCAATCATCTCCCCCGTCTCTGCCAAGCAGATGGCAAACTCATACGCCGATTCGCCTTTGGCCGAGCCAGGTAGCCTGTCTTCTAGGCATTTTGCCGTCTCTTCCAAATCCTTGTCTGGCCTGCCCTGGCCTGTCCACTTCATTACTTCTGGCTGCAGACGGAGTAGGTGAAAGTCATTGACGTCTGTTGCGGCGTATGGCCGGAGGATCAGGCGCTCGCTTCGGATCGGTTCCCGAGCTGACATGGGTGGGTATGCTTTTGGCAAGGTTGTTTTGACTGTGGCCCATTCTAAGGGAGTAGAGTAACCGTTGGTTTGTGCCATTGCGAAGAGAGTTTGTTTGCTGTATCGACAAAGATGTATTCTGATTGCGATTGCGAACTTGACCAGAGAGCCACGGGGGAACTTGAAAAGGAAGCTTAAGCTTGATGACACAGGGTGTAATTGTACAAAAGGAACAGTAGTTGCTTGAGAGTCACTTTAAATATTGAAAGAGCATCGGAGTTTAGCCATCGAAATCAATCGGCATTGTTTTAGCATGACTCATACCGGAACACCACCGGATTATGACACTTTTATGAGTTTAAATCTATTTTGATCGGGCCGCTTATAGGCGACTATTGATTAGTAGGAACTTCTTGTCTGCGGCCTCGAATACGACGGACCGGCCGAAATCTGAGCTCGCGGTTCCGCACTGCAGCACGGTGAGCCCGATTTGGATAGACGTGGGAGATAGAGAATTGCAGTGGCTTAGCCTAGCTTGGCAGAAACGGTGTTGGAAAAAAAATCAGTTATACGCTAAGAGGAAAAGACAGACACAGACAGACAGAAGGTAATACCAAGCGATGTTGTTAATGTCAGTGTAAACCATCATGTACTGCTCTTACACAGGCGGGGAAAACAAAACGAAGCGCTTGCCCATAATTGAAGGCGCAGTTTCTTTTGTATTGTCTCTTTTAACAGCTAAACTGCCGAATCCGTCTTCTTTTGTAGCAAATATCCAGCGTCGCATCAGCTCACGTCTCTTTGAAACGTCGATGCCTCTCAGCCAATAACATGGAATGCCGCCGTAAAGAAAAACACAGACATTCACATTCCTTGAGTCAGAAAAATCTACACCGTGTTCAGAATTTTTTGGTTCATTCAGTGCTCTTTTTTAAACGAGCAAATGCAGTGATATTTCCATGATCCGTTGTAAACACCCGCAGAACCTAGCCCAACCGTCCTCAAAACCAATAACATTCTTAAGCGAAAGTGGAAGGTCGCTTCGCGGTGAACAGCTTCTGGGTGCTGATCTTGGCAACACGGTGGGGGAGAGGGAACTTGAGGCTCTTGGTGACGAGCTGCTTGATGTAGGGGCGCTTGATGTCGGCGGTCTTCTCAACCTCAACGACACGGAGAATCTGGGCAAATTGTCAGTATATAACAAGCATCATCTGCGCTCGTGGTTTGCTCGACGTACGTGGATGGACCTGAAACGGGCACGGTGACGGGCAGCCATATCGGAGTACAGGGACTCGACGGCATCGGTTCTGGTCAGCTCACGGTACTCCTTGTACATGTTGTGCGTGCCAGATCGAGAGTCGTATCGCAGCCAGATACCGAAGTTCTTGACCTTCTCGGGGTGCTTCTCGTGGATCTATAGTTTTTTCCCTCTTCGTCAGCCGCTTGTCGTTGGTTTTTTTTTCCGTCGCTTGGGGGGAGTCGACATACCGCCTTGATGCTGACGATCTCACCAGTGGCCTTCTTGACCTTCTTGAGACCACGCAAGAAGTACCAGTAACGGGACTTGGCGACAGTCTCGTTAGGGGCGAAGATGGTCATGCGGTACATGGCCGGGGTAGGGTTGGCCTCAGTGGGCAAGTGGCGGCCGATGACCTCGTACTCTGTAAGGCGACCTGAAGATAGTTTGTTAGTATCCAAGGTCAAGGTTTCTTCGTAGTGAATGCCATTCGAATGCGCGCTGCCGGTGGTCTCGTGTGTGCCAAAGTCGGTGCCGATCGTTGAATATTTGATGTCTCGATTCATAGAAATCTTTCAATGAGGAAAATTCTTTTTTTCTCGCTCAAGAATATTGCATTGAAGGCGCCAAGTCCAGCTTTCCCCCCATTACAACAACAATGCTATCGATCCTCAATTGATTGGTTGAATCGAGACGTCTATTCGGATTATCGTGGTTTGCTGATTTCGAGATAAAATTCGACGACTGGTTTTCCTCCCGACAACGCGCATTCTCGAACTGGTGAAGAGCTGAAAAGGAGATTCTTACCCATCTGGAATGATTGTCAGTATACAAAATATCTAATAAGAGTGCCTTCCCGACTCACTGTGGCGGTGGTCTATGTCCTCGACAAATCGCGAAATTTGAAGATTGTCAAGTTAGAGGTGATGCAGCGATAATTTTTGTGTGCGGGTGAGTGGGGAGGGTTGAGCACCAGATTCGGCGCAGGGCTTTAACCTTGACAGCGATTGGTCAAATGGCAAATGGAGGACCCCACCGATGCTCGATAAGCGTCACGTGCAAAGTCACAGGCAAATCCGGATTACCTCATCCACTAGGTAGCTGCGCTAAAGGTACGTACCTAGCTGAATGGGCTGTAATGGGAGGCATGAGCCAGGCAGTACTTGTGGAACAGAAAGATGATGTTTTAGGCATATACAAGAATCCCCATCTCGAAATCAAGGAGAATCGCTCTTTCGCGTGAGCTCTTATTCTTCGACGCTATCTGGTTAGCATCGAGAATCGAACAGATATTTGGCCCGTAATCGCGTTTTTCAGCTCAGCATCTTATTTGGCGATATGAACGACTTGTTCAAAGGCTTCGCAAAAGCCCACGCTGAGCAGAATGGTTACCTGCTCGCGGCAACGCTCTCACCGATAGCCTCATCGGCCAATCCCCAGCGATTGAGATTAATCTCCAAGAGCAGTAATTCGTCTAGCGTTAAAGGCGACATCAAACACTTCATCAAGTCAAATTCATCTCATCAGAGAAATCTTGGTCACGAGGAAGTGAAAGGCTGGGTCGAAGTGTATGCCGCATATTGGAACGCTATCGGAGACTTTGTTGCAGTGGAAGATGGCAAGGTAGGATGACTGCTACAAACTGTGTGATATCGATGATAGCTAATACTGGGACAGTCAACATGGACCAAGGTCTATGAATCCTGGAAGGATCTAACATCCGCCCTGATTAGAGGCTATAACAACTTTGGCTTCGAGGCGTGGACCATCCCATGCTTATATGTGGTTGGAAAGTATTTGAGGTTATTTGCCATCAGATCCGACACGGAGCGTAGCCGCAGCGCCAATGACAACTCTGGGGGAGCCGCCCTTATACAAGATGATTTTGACCCAGAGACCGAAAAGCAGAGCCAATTGAGAGACTGCGAGCAGCACCTCAAAAGGATATTCACCCTTTGTCTCAACGATAGGTTTGTATCCCCTTCAAGTTATCTTTGAGGCTTTTCTAACTCTTCGATTCAGAGCCCCGCTAGAAGAGTCCAGGAAATGGGGCATCTACTTCATTATCAACCTGCTATTCAAAACATATTTTAAGCTAAACTCTGCTTCGCTCTCACGAACTATTTTGAAGACATTAAGCGCATATAAGGGAGACATGCCTGCATTATCGGCGTTTCCCAAATCACAGAGAGTCACCTTTAAGTTTTACGAGGGTGTTTTATTTTTCTTGGAGGAAAATTATATCGAGGTAAGAGGTCATATGGCCTTGATGTTGGCATGTGACTAATAGCATATGTCAGGCCGAGAAATATCTTGTCGAAGCATGGGAGCTCTGTCACAAGGATGCGAATGCAAATCTGGAGTATGTTTAACATGAGACTGCTGTCTTATTGAGATACTAATAGATCTTAGGCGAATACTAACCTATCTCATCCCTTGCCGCCTTCTTACTAGCCATCTGCTACCCACAAAGGCAATCTTGGAGCCGTTCCCTCGCCTTCAAAAACTATTCCTACCTCTAGCCCAATGCATCAGGAAAGGCGACCTTCGCGCTTTTGATATCGCGTTACAGGAAGGCGAGGATGAGTTTGTGAAGAGGCGCATTTACCTTACTCTCGAGCGTGGGCGTGATATTGCTCTGCGTAATCTATTACGCAAAGTCTTCATTGCAGGAGGATTTGACGAGCTCAAAGAGGGCGAGACCACGCCTGTGCGCCGCACACGAGTACCTGTCGCGGAATTCCGCGCAGCTCTCTGTATGGGAAGCGGAGGAGAGCTAGTTGACACAGATGAAGTTGAGTGCCTGTTGGCGAATATGATTTACAAGGTATGGCTTACTGTTACTCATCTTCCCCCATCTACTTGTTACGCCTTGGTCCTAACACCGACACTAGGATCTGATGAAAGGTTATATTGCCCGCGACCGAGGCATCGTAGTCTTATCCAAGAAAGGCGCTTTTCCAGGCACCGGTGTTTAACTTTACGTCGATACAAGGCGATATTTGTTTGGTAGCATTATGAACCACTCTCGGGGTCTAACTGTCAAGGCGTCTTGTTGCCTAGTGTTTCGAGAAGAATGCTGGGGAAGTGGGTCGATGCGCGCGCCTGTTGCATTACTCTTATACGGTTGGTGCCCAAAATTACGGTGCGCATACAATACCAGATAGCTAGCGAGGATGAATTTTAAGAGGCTGGTGGTTCCTGTTCTAATGGTTGCTTCATCTGGTAGCCTCACCAATGGTTGGACATCCGGACCCCTCTCGTGTGTTCCGCATACCCTTGGCTACCACCCTTATCTGCTTTTTCTTGTCTTGAAGTACTGAATGACTCATTCCACAAGCTTCTAAGGCATCGAATCTTTCGAATTAATACGCCAAAAGTGCTTGGGAGAAATTGTCTTCTTCATATGGGCGAGTACTGCAAACAAAGACCTCTCAGCTTTTTATAGAAACTATGCACAAGTCTACTACATCACTTTTAATGGATGACAAATTGAGATGACAACAGGTTCAATCTTTGCCTTTAGTATGGAGATATGTCAAACAATGTAATTTCCGATTTCCTTCCAAATCATGTGCATAGCTTTGAAGCATTGTAGTTCCTCAAATCTATTTCCCAGGTTTGACCCAACCTTGTGTGTTCAATCTCAGTTTATCTAAGATAGTATTTAATCTTTCGCTTCCAAGTACCAAACATTCATCAGTCTTTATAGTGCCATATATCTTCCGGTGTCGACAAGAATAGAAAAGGAAAAGAAAAGAGTAAGCCGCCAAATTTGCTGGCGGAACAAGCAGGGGCATAATCGTACAAGGGGTAGCGGTAGCAGTACAAAGGGAATAATCATAAACTGAGTTGCGTAAAGAAAGCATTGCACCAACAAGGAGAAACAAGAAAAAGGAAAACGCCATCGTAGTGTTGTTTTTGTGACTGTTTTGGTATCCTCTTCTCGAAAAGTAACAAAGGAAATAGCATTAACCCGTTGCCGGTTTGTAACGAGCTTATTATATATGGCGGCTAGACCGCGGCGTGTTTCTTCTCGACCGTTAATCACATAGTGATCGATAAAAACAAGATTTGGAAAGACCTACTGTACGGATGAGATATCATCGACGTGGTTGCAGAGGGCTACAAAGAGATCGAAGAACAATTGTGTGCCTCCGTTGAACATCTCCAACTGCATTGTGCCACTTCGCTTGAAAGTGCTACGGGATCGGATGATCAAAGCCAAATAGTGTGCTCGCAGTTTGGAGTCGGTCTCGGGAGTGTTGGCATATGCATATCTTGCCGAGGCAAGGATAGTGCTGCACTGGATGCCAGATTCTGTTTCTGTGTCAGCAACAAGCAGGAGAGTGGAGTTGAGTGATTGTGAACTTACGCAGACCTTGCTTGCGTAGAGATAGCTTCTTTAGTTCATCCAGTCCATATCGTTCGGCGGCACAATAAATGACAGTGTCCTTGAGCAGATCACCATCAACGCTGCGATGATAGACTGTGCTCTCTGCAGTCTTTCTATCATCGTCGTTGATGGGCTCCAATTCCCAACTATCTCGTCGCTTGTTGTGAACCAAGCGGGGGAAATAATCTCCTTTGTACATGAACTCTAGCACTGAGCTAAAAATCTCGGGTTCTTCTTCTGGAAGAGAAATTCTCTTTGTGGAAGGATCGGTATAGAGTTTTCGAAGTGCATTGCTGAAGAAGGGGCTTGCGCAGAGAATGTTTTCGTGGGCAGCAAAAAGACGCTGTTCAGAACCGACAACAAGCGTAGCGATGGAAGAGCTCAAGTTGCTGAAACTGATAGTCATATTATCAGTATCTACAGTTTTGATAAAAGTACGGAGAGGCGGGTCAGCTTACCTGGTCATGATAGTGTCCTCGCTAAAAGAAGCGGAAGATGACGTGGCGGGTCTCCGGTGGCGAGACTCATGGCGCTTTTTCGTGATGCCGCTGTCTTTGCTAAAAGAGCTGCTGAAAGAAGAGGTGGACTTCGACACCTTGTGGCTCTTGGAGAAGCTCCGGCTGGAAGCGTCGGGTCGCTTGGAGAACATGGCGAGCCCCCTTAACGATAGGAGGCAGATTAAATAGATTATTAAAAGAATAAACAAGGATATTATTGTCGTGAATTCAGGCGACAATTGACGGTAAATACCTGTCACGGCTGAGAATACGAACAATCGGAAGAAGAAGAAATGTTTACAAGTGAATCGACTGCTCCGTGAAAGCGACTCACTTACCCAAGGCAGACGAGGCCGAAATTCTTGCACAAAGCAGGGTGGAGGCCATAGTTTTATACGACTCCAGGCTCAAGCCCGGAGGCGCTGCCTGCCTGTGGACACCCCCCGGATCCATTAGTGAGGCGACCAGGCAGGGTTGGCGATGATGAGACGACCCAACGCGTCCACTCGCGTAAAGAGATGCACAGTAAGGTTTACAGTGCAGTACTGGGCGACGCCAAAATCTTGCGAAAGCACGTGATGCTGTGTGTCAGAAGTGCTGCGCATTTTGGGCGGTCGAGGCGGATTGGCAGCCCAATGGCCACGGATCCCTGCCGAGCCTGGCGAGTCACAGCCGGAAGCAGGCAACAAAACGGGGCTGGTCGACGAAGCCCCTTGTCACGCAGACAGTGCTGTTTCGACAGTGGCTGGAATTGTGGTGTGGAACAGCCTGGAGTGCCTGGAGCTGTGCGAGGCATCCATCCGTGTCTATCACCAACCTGCAGGAATGCGAGATAGTGCATGAGAACTATGGGGCTTATCCTATATCCAGTTTTGGAGATGCACGTTGCTAAAATACTTGGACGTATGAAACTTGGCATTGCTGAAGTCAATTGAGATCAATTGAGCCCAAGATTTGTCCCCAGTTGCGGCGGAAGCGGCCTTTGCGCTATGGACTCTCTATCTAATTCTCACAAACTCTGGCGTCTCACAGCCGCACGTCTTGGACCGTGCTTTTAGCCAGTGGATCATGGGATAGATTGCGTTGCAAGGTACAGGCCTTTATCTTCCTGAGTTTCTGGCAAGCTACTGCATCAGCTAAGGCTGGTATCAGCATCCCGTGTGAGTGCTGGGCGCAGACTTGACCACGATTAGAAGTGGCCGCCGTTCTCTAAAGCATAAGGTTTGAGTCCGCCATTCACGCTCAACTGTTGCCTTTTGGCGGATCATGCAGAGATGGCTTTTGATCTGCCCGGGCCTCTTGTGCCCGCGAAACGGCCAAGGCAATAGACCGTGCAATGGTGTGTTTGCCTTCTTTCCGTACCATCACATCGTTATGAAGCGCTCCGCGGACTCTATGCAGCTCTGCAAACAGCTGAACATCCTGACATCGCTTGTAAAGGATGCTGCCATGATCGGAGGGCACTAATTCGTCTTTACCACCCTCTACTATATAAACCCCTGGTTTTTGGGCTTTATCGGCTATCGTCCCCAAGTTTGCCCAGCTATCAAGATGGTTGCGCAAAAAAGGCCAAAGGTGTCGATACGGCAACCACTTTTGTGGATACAGCGCCGTGAGCATTGCGCGGGTATTTGTGAATGGTGTTTCTAGTAGCAAGGCATTAATTGGCAAAAATGCAGCAGTCTGAGTTTTGGCCGCCAGATTTGTTGCGAAGCCACACCCGATACTCTGCCCCCACAAGATGGTGATGGGATTGGGTGCCCCTTCTGTCTGCTTATATCGATCATGATGGAGCTTTGATATCCATCGAAGTGCGGCCTCAGAGTCCAGGTCGATGCCTTTTTCAGAAGGACGATCATGTGATGTCCAATATCCTCTGTAGCTAAGGCAAATCATAGTATAATGGACCGGCCCCTCAGTCTCTGCTTTGAGTAGACGAATAATACCAGAGATATCTGGCAGCCGAGGAGGGAGAGATGAAGCGTTTCCTGCTCTACGCCTCAGCTACTCACAGATGCTTCACTACATAGGAGTTCCTACATACCTTGGAAATATAAAATGTACACCGGCGTCTTTGGCGAGGTGTCAGACTTGTGACCACAAGACATCTCACTTATACAAAGAGCAATCTCGGTGCCATCCAGAGATTTGATACGGTCCTCTCGCCATTCGATTCCTCCGCACTGGCGTGAAAAGTCCGAAATCCGCATGCTGCGAGCATTTGGTGGAAGAAAGGGGTTGTAAATGATGGCATTCTGGAACAAGACAAGCATGATGCACTTGTAGCACCACAAGGCAAGAAAAAGTCCGGTAAAGATGGCGGGTGGCATCAACACTTGGCCGATGTGGATTTGCCTCTTGACCATGCCGTAGCCATACTCGCATCGGACGACAGGTCTACGTGGCCGCCACGTCCATGGCGCTGCTGGACCGTATCGCCTCGCTGAAGACTGTATCACCAGCCCTCTAGGATACGCAAATGGCAATCGTGAGATGCGCATCACAGAAGGTCCAGATCCCGCAACCCTGTCACCGAACACGGCGGGGCTATGAGAGACGAATCTGAATCTGGTTATTCACATCGAACTCGAGCACAGCTGAGCATCTTACTTCTTATCTTGACAAAGCAGTGTGCCAGCCAAAATTAAACAACTTCCGTAAGTTGCCGTAGCTTGGCTTTATTTACATACATGCAGGACAGAGACTAATGACGGCTCGGATCCATGTTTATAAGGATCTGGCACCCTGCCACCCCGCGGTAGCAGAAACCATTATAGTGGGTTCAGGCGTCACTCGTCACTAAGCAAAAGCGCCACCCCGGCCCTGCAAGGCATTTTGAACTTAAACTCTCGAAAACCTTAAGAAGACACAACAGGCAGCATCCTCGCCTTTGAAGCCATGCTATAGCAGCGTAATCTCTTCCGACAAGAACAGTTTCTGCAGCGCAAGTTTCACCCCATCACAAAAATCAAGACTCTTGCGCCAGTGATCCTGCTTCGGCCTTGCACGGGCATCGGCAGCGCGAGATGGAGGCTCCGGTAGAAAAAGAAAAAGAGGAGCGCACGGCTCACATCGACATCATCGACGACAGGCCGTCTCCCCAGGTCGACGCCGAGCCCAGCCCGTCTCTCAAGGACAGCAAGGGCTGGGATGGCAAGCTTCGCATTCCCAGGTCGGCGCTCATGACCAACCCGGAGGCGCTGTCAGATCCGGAATACTCAGACGACAGCAATGTCCTGCACGGCGAGGAGATCCGAGCAGACGAGAGTAAGAGATGACAAACCCACGCCATCAGCTACTTCCAAGAAGATTCAGACTAACTAACATGATTCACATGATAGATTTGCTCGACAGCGAAGCCTCCGACACCGAGGAGATCATGGCCACGCACTCTCGCATCGCGTCAATACCTGCTCTAAAGCTGGAGCGCTTCAAGAACGTGGTCCGCATCTGCCTCCGACAAAATGTCATTCAAGATATCGAGAGCCTCGACAGCCTTGCCGATTCCTTGGAAGACCTTGATTTATACGACAACTTGATCGGACATATTCGAGGACTAGACAGCCTGACAAAGCTTACGAGCCTTGACCTCAGCTTCAACAAGATCAAGCATATCAAGCACATCAATCATCTAAAGGACCTAAAGGAGCTGTTCCTAGTCGCCAACAAGATCAGCAAAATCGAAGGTCTTGAAGGGCTTGATAATCTGAGGTCTCTAGAACTCGGCTCAAACCGTATTCGAGAAATCCAGAATCTCGACAGCCTTAAAAACCTAGAAGAGCTGTGGTTGGCGAAGAACAAGATTACGGACCTGGCGGGGCTTGGTGGGCTTCCCAAGTTGCGTCTCCTTAGCATTCAATCCAACCGCATCCGAGATTTGTCTCCCCTAAAGGAAGTGTCCCAGTTGGAGGAACTCTACATTGCCCACAACGCTCTCGAATCTCTTGAAGGCATTGAGAACAATATCAATCTCAAGACACTCGAGATATCCAACAACCAAATTACCAGTCTCAAAGGCTTAGGCCCTCTCAAAGACCTTGAAGAGGTGTGGGCTAGTTACAACCAGATTGCGGACTTTGCCGACGTCGAGAGAGAGCTGAAAGACAAAGAGGACTTGACAACTGTTTATTTTGAGGGAAATCCTCTTCAACTACGTGGCCCCGCTCTATACAGGAACAAGGTTCGGCTGGCCTTGCCGCAAGTCAAGCAGATTGATGCTAGTGAGTGTACCCAAGTCCAATATCACCTGGTGTCACCACTTTCTAACTTGATTTAGCATTTGTGAGAGTTTAGGGTGAGGCTCACCATGCCAATTGGAGTATATGATAATGGCGGAACGGACTATTTTTGGGGAATCTTGACGGCGTTTAATCGGACTATTTGATATACAATAGCATCGTTCGCTAGAAGAATGCAGACACCTGTGTCCCATTGATTTGAACCATCATGGGGTACGATTTGCTTGTTGGAAGAAACATAGCCTTTTATGAGCTCTTGTAGTTTGGATACTCTGATATTCATTTTCTATAACATACTGACTACCCAGGTTTTCTTTACAGTGGCAGACGGCCTCAATACAACACTGACAAGGGAAATTTACTGGCAGAAAGAACGCTTTTTATTATTTTATTTATTTGACTCCCGCTTGATTTAACCAAAGAGGAACAGCTTGTCGGCAGAGAAGTACTATAACGAGATGTGAGCATGATACAATTCTTTACAAGTGACGGCGATATATAACTCACGTTTGTGGGCTTGTTGAACCGGATGTTCAAATCCATCTCTGCAATCTTTTCCAAGTCGCTGGACTCCAGATCAAAGTCGGTCGAACCCAGGTTCTGAGCCAGGACTTCCGGTCGAGAAGTCTTGGGGATGACGGCCAGGCCGCGCTGGGTGGCCCATCGAAGGAGGACCTGGGCGGGGGTCTTCTTGTGCTTGGCGGCAATCTCCTTGATGAGGGCGTGCTCCATCAGGGGAGCGGCGCTCTTTGCACGAGGCATATCAAGCTCCATGAATCCAGTGGGGCCGAAAGAAGAGTAGGCTGTGACGACAATGCCCTCCTTCTGAGCAAGGTTGACCAGGTCGGGCTGCTGAAGGTAGGGGTGGTGCTCAATCTGCAGCGTAGCAGGGCGAATCTTGGCGTAGATGAGGGCATCGTACACTGACTGGGCCTGGTAGTTGGAGATACCGATGCTTCGGGCGAGCTTCTTCTCAACCAGCTTCTCCATGGCACCCCAGGTCTGCTGAAGGGTGGTCTTGCTCCATCGAACCTCACTCTCGCCGTCATAGAACCATCCTGGCGGGTAACGGACCTTGGGGTCAACGTACTCGAGGGCAGCGGGGAAGTGGATGAGGAAGAGGTCAAAGTAGTCAATCTGCCAGTCGGCAAGCTGCTTGCGGGTGATGGGCTCGACCTTGTCCTCGTCGTGGAAAGTCTGCCACAGCTTGGAGACGATGAAGAGCTCCTCACGCTTCACGATGCCCTCCTTAATGGCGCGGGCAACACCCTCACCACACTCCTTCTCATTGCCATAGTCTGGATAGGAGGGAAATATTAGCGCCGATGTTACTTCAATGACGTCTTTCCCAACTTATACAAGAAAGAAAGCGGGGAAGATAGCGATTTGATATTATATCTCTCATTCGCATGAACCGAGACCTACCACATGCGCCGTCAAACAGACGGTAACCGGCCTTGATGGCATTGTAAACGGTATCAGCTGCGGTTGACTGGTCGACCTTCCAGAGGCCAAAGCCCACCTGGGGCATCTCATATCCGCTGTTGAGCTTGAGTGTGGGCGCCATCTTGTCTGCTAGTCTGCCTTGGGTCGAGAAACAGCGATAAGTCTTGTTAACCGTCGAGGTGTTTGATGAGATGGACAAACGAGACAAGAGGAAAGAAGGTTGTGGTTGTCGGGGCTTATTTATGGACAAGACCCGAACTCCACACGAGAGGAGGCTCGCTCGGTGCCTCATGGCTGGGATCCTCTTATTTGCAGCCGCAGCCTTGTTATCTCACTAGTCCGAGTCGATTTCTCCTCTCCAGCACAGTGGAATCCGCCTCTAGCTTTGCCAAGTACAGGTCAGCTGGGTCTCTGGGGACGGATGGATGGATGGATAGGGCCTACATATGGAGAGGCCAAAACTCCAGCATGGCAATAAACCGTCAGACCCAGCCTAGCGCCTGGCGAATGGTTGTTTTGCCGCCTATATGCATGAGGGCGGGTAGCAACTAGCAGATCTAACCGGCCCGGATGCTTCTCTTCTTCACCAAGTTGGGAGCTTGTGGCGGTGCTAATTACATCTTGGGAGCAGTACAGCTTAGGGGGCCCGATCGTATCTCGTCTCCTATTAGTGCGTTTAACATGCCTCTCAAGTTTTTGCAGTTGGTGGCTGACAGGGACTAGTATGACGATTAGGCTTGTCAGCTAGTTCCAAGTAATGACGCTTTTTCCTGCACAAGTCCTCTTTTTCTTTTCTCGTCACTTTCTTCTTACATCACCGAAAATGTCATTTGTGGATACGGCGGGAAAAAGGACATGACTATCGAAAGCTGCGGCAGCTGTTACATTCACCTCGGCTTTCTCGAAAAATACAGGTCGTCGATATCCCCGGGTGTTTGATCAGGCTGAGGAAACCCCAATGGCTATTTAGCCTAAATTGCCATGATGCTCCGCAGTCTAGGATACGGCTAATTGCTCCGGTTGGTTGCCGCTCAGTGGCTTCCGACGCTTCTTATGGAGCTTATTATCCACTAACAAGAGGGACACATCTAATAAGAACGTCTAGTTCGTCGAACGCTTGGACCTCTGATGGACTTGAATCATGATAGGCCATGGGTCTGGCCGAAGGTGAGGGATAAGATGACATCGTATCGAGACCAGGCTATACTGCTACCACGGGTATTTGCAACTGTTCTGTTTTATCTTTTATCTTTTCTTTTGAGACAGTTGATTCCTTGTCATCTTTGCTGATGATGACGACGCATTTTGAAAGCCTTTGGTGGAGACACAAGGGATCTATTTGCGGTGGCTTGTAGCCTCTTTGAGGGGTTGTTCAACAGCGGGGTTGCCTGTCTCTTTGAACTGGGACGATATCATCATCTAGGGGCGAACGAAGAAAAGAAAGGGAACCTTTGTCGTGTGGAAAACGTTCGCTATGAACAAGGAACAAGTTGATACCTTCAATGGAATCCGAAAAGAAAAATGAAGAAAGGACGTTGCGCCTGAACAAGTACGAGAAAGTCAACATGAATATACTCAATTTTATCAAATGCCCCTTTGTTGAGCAATCATGCAATTCTTCTTGGTTATGCTTTTCGCTCACACATATAACATAGCCGCCGATATGGATTGCCAGGATGAGAATGGAATGCTGAACCATGTCCGCATATCCTACAATTGATCACTCGCCATCTGTTCATCGCCAACATGTCATCACTGCTGCCCCATCTCAACGTGCGCCGCAGAGCGGTAAGGCCTGATGGTGCTATACTTGCCAAAAACTACTTTGCCGTCCAATCGGCCCTGATTCGCGGTGACAGAGATGTGACACTTGACAATACGAGCAGAATCCTGTCACACGAATGCGACGCACTTGCGCTTCCTTATGAACATCTAGATATGCCACAAGACCAGGAATTCGAATACCCCTTTGCTGATGACTATTCCGAGTCTCGTAGCAATAATACTGATCAGCCAAGCGTCGTTGGAGACTATATCGAACTCTTCGATTGGGATGGCTTCAGGCTCGAATGGGTTAAAGTCCTCGGCCAGGGTGGTTTTGGCATGGCCACGCTCTGGAACGTCATATTTGATGATGAAAGCAGCATGAAAGCTGTCATCAAGATACCTATCCATATGAACGGCACATTTAGGGATGAGCTAGAGTGGCATCTTAGATATAGAGGCGCTTCCCATGTCACCCAGAGCCTGGATCTGCAAGAGATTGCTGACAATGTTAGACGCAGAATGAACAGAGAACACATGATCAACCAAGGAATCAGGTTCGATCAGAAGCGGCTGGATATTCTCGTCCTGGAGTACGCAGAGCACGGGTGTCTTTTTGACATAATGTCCAAGGCCTCATATTTTGATGTTCATTTTTCGAATAAGGTGCTATGGGAGATTTGGGAGTGCTGTAAGTGTCTCTTCTATTCCTATTTGGTCAAAACCCATGAAGAAGGAGGAAAAATAATTAAGCAAAAAGAACGAAATTAACGGAATGTTTACAGTGGTCAAGGGTGTTGTATCAGTAGCTCTTCAGCCAGATTCAATCCAACAATGGAGCCCCGATAGACTTGATACGATATTGAACTCGCTGGATGATCCACAAAATGCTGGTGAATTGCTAAAACTCAGCACATTGATTGATAGTCACGATGTGCATTTTGACTTGGAAGAGCAGAATAGTATACCGCTCCCTTTCCTTCTCTACAAGTGTGAGCATGCTAACAAACGGTTGAATAGTTCTCGTTGCTGAAGATGACCACCACTCGCATCATCCCATCTTGAAGGTGAGTTTGGGAAGTGTCAAAATGCCGCCTGATTCATTGAGCTGACAATAGGCCGAACTAGTTTCATGATTTTGGAGCTTATAGCCATAAGATGAACCAGTGCTGGGATTACTGGGAGCATCCGAACTATTGGAGAGCGAGAAGGTGCCCCAAAAATAATAGGACTCCTCCGGTAAGTCTTATATAATTGCTTGAACCTGTGTTTTATAGGAAATAGCTCACAATTTGGTAGGAAACCATTACCAAAGATTGGGACAAGGTCGATCTAAGTCGCCCGGGTTCAGTATTACAATACACGGGTGACACCTTTGGGCCAGGCAAGAACGAGGTTGCAGGGCGATATGGCACATGGACGAATATCTTCACCATTGGCAAAATTGTCAGTTACTTTTTCCCACTCTTTGTTCAATTTCAGGATCACGCTAATTAAGACCAATTAGATGGAGTCCGTCATAACAAAAAGCTGGTGTTCACACCCTATGACGACAATGAAATATGAAGCTGGGGACAAAAGATGCTTCGGCGACTCCTATGCCTGGCGTCTGTGTCAGCCAGGATATGATTATATCGAGCCAGAGCTTCTCGATCAGATTGCGCAATGCCAGTTTGAGAGACCACAGGACCGTCCTTCGCTTAGCTATCTCTTGAGGCATGCATGTAGGCGTAAGCACCTCGGCTTTGAAGAGAGCGATGATGAGACACGCTCCTTTTGGGATGCCTTTTGGGCACGTACGAGGAGTAATGCAGGCGGCCAGCCTCCGTCCAACCCTTTCTCAGACTCAAAGGCTTCGACACTTGTGGGCCGAGATTCAGGAAGCCGGAGAGATTATCCCATTGATTATCCCACTGATCGCGGTCAGCGTGAGTATCGGTCAGATCCTTTTGCACGACCTTCTTTTCCACTTCCTCCAGCACCATCTCCTCCGTCACGATATGATGAAATCGGGAACCCGCTCATTACACATGTTGCTGCTCTTCGACGCAAAAGTCGACGATCACTGCTTAGTGTTTCGTCAGAAGGGTCGTTTCCAGGCCCGTCTCGCAGGCCGGTCTTTTCTACAAACTTGGAAGCAACGGCATTAAATCCACTAGCAAGCTCGCCAGCGGATAACTCAGCTCCTTTTGGCGGACTTCAGAAGAAGCGGCCGTCTTCTGGGTCTTCTAGTGACGACTCAGACGGTGGTGTGCTTCTATATGAAACGAAAAGAGCTGAAGACGATTTCGCTCCTGCTTCCTCAGCATCTTCACCGGGTGAAAGTATTCTTCGACAAGGGACAAAGAGAAGTTCTAAGGCATCAGCATCGCCATCAGGTAGTGGGATGCCTTTACGAATAACAGAGGGAACTAAGCACAATTCAAAAACTTTTTTGTTCTCATCATCAGGAAGCACACATGCGGCTTGGCGGGTATCGAAGAGAGTGAAGAAGCAGCCAGTCAAATCGGTCAGATTTGCAAACGCAGCTGCACTCGACGACATCATATCCACCTCTATAAGCGATGACCCTACGCGCCTAAACTATGCTTGGCCCATCATGACCATGGCACCAAGACGCATACCAAATGTTCTGGAGATGGATGTACGCGATGGCAAACGCCTTGCCAAGTATGCTGCGATATCACCAGAGAGATTAGACTTGCCGCAGAGCAATGGCAGCTTCTCTTTTACGAAAAAGTCCGATCCGTCGTATTACGAGGGTGTGGATGAGGGCGCTTCACGGTTGCAGTTTGATACTACTATGATGCAGGCTAATAGTACAGCTTTTACTCCGATGGAGATTATTCCTGAAGAAATAGACAGTCGAATGGATTTGGATTGATATGAGGATATAGCGGAGTGTAAGGCTGGGCAGGAAGGCGTTTTTGTTAGTGTTTTTGAGCGATTCCTGGTAGTTTCTAGTTAAATGGCTTGATAGAGATTTCTAGATATGTTTCTTGTTTAAGTAGTAAAAGGAAAAGTTATCCAGCTCTCAGCTCCATTATCCAGCACTCTAGCTATAACTTAAAGTAGCAATCAGCCTACATATAAAATTGTTTTTATTTCCCTTGGTATTATATACACTTGGAAGTGGCAGTAAGAATAGTAGCAGCAGTAACAGCAATAGCAGTAGTAGCAGTAATGGAGAGTGTCCCAGCGTAACATTCTTGCCATCCATAATCTCCAACAGTCCTAGCCAGCCCACGTCGTCAATTTGAACTGTCTCCTTGGCTGTCGCAATCCCCCTTTCGTCTAAAGAGTGGCTGGAAACCCCGTATCGTTATAAGTGCAGTTCGTGTTAGTACAATACATTTTCCTCATCATCTGAGTTTGAGTCCGAATCTGATGAATCCAGCCCTATATCGCTTGGTGTCTGGTTTTCAGACTTATTTTCTTTAGACGACGAGCTATTATCGCCTGAAGCTACTCTACCAGGTTCATTGTCTGTGCTCCTAACCGAATCCTGGTCATCATTGTCATAATCTGCTTGGCCTATCTGTTCTTCGTTATAATCATATGGCTTCCTGTGACGGTTGCATTCTATGCATGGCTGGTTTTTTGGAATAGTCAATGTGATTTGGTTGTACTGCATCCAGGAGACGGTTCATCGGCGTTGAGTCCATTTGACAGCCAGTTCGATAATGGTGTTGGATATGAATGAGAGTATAAGTCACTCGTCTTCTTCTTTCCCATCGAGAGTTTGTAGAAGGATATTCGCGAGTGATGAAGTAATAAGATCTTCGGTGGAAAAGTGACTTGGTCACGAATCTTCCTCTGTGATGTTCCAGAAAAAACGGGTAATTGACCTTTAGAAAAGAGGCAGCGCGAAGCATTCGGGATGGGACTGCATGCTAACGATGAACCGTAGAGAGCCCTTGTCGGCTGTAGAGCCTCCGATAAGCAGGTTTGGAGAACAGGCATCTGGAGTGTTGTAGGGGTTGTCCAAGACTGGTCTGCGATGTCGTTATATCAGCATTATGTTGTCTGTATTGTAAACACTTCTTATACATATAATATATACATTGTAAACATACCTTTATCATCCAGAATACTGATATTCGATCGATACGTGCAGTCTCACGTTTTCGTCAGGCCCAGCGTGAGTCCAGTCGCAAGCCCGGCAATAATCACCAAGACCACCGATGAAACAATCACCAAGTAGCATTTTCGCTGGGAACCGCTCGGTGTCCACTCCTCTCCATTCCATCGCTTCTTCTTCTTCTTCGACGTTTCTGTAGGCGGAGGCGTCATTTGCCCAACGACAGTCTTTTCGTCTCCATCCGTGCCTTCAGTCTTTCTGCACTCCGTTACGGCCAGCATTTCTGGCGGCAGATCTTGAAATCCTGCTATATACGGTATAATTATCCCCTGAGGCGGCGGACCTAGACTCCGGCGAGGATTCTTTGAGGGTATGCGGAGCATTACTGGTGCCGGGGCGATGATGCTGTCTTCTCTGATGACGGGCATTTGCCCGACTGAGACGAGTGATGTCCGTGATCCAGCTCGGGTGTGAATCTTTGTTGAATGCGCCATGATTTGAAGTAGTAAAAAGAGCAGCCTTCAGCGAACAAAAGCTTGAGCTTAATGCCCAAAGCTCTTCCTTAAAACGTGGACTTCAGAGTTTGACGATAGCTCTCATTGGCGGCATGAGAAAAAAGAGAGCAAGATTATCGAAATATGAAATGGATGTCGTTCCTATAGCCACAATAAAGAAGAGAAAGTGTTCCATGGCCCCTATTATATATCTCCTCCTGTCATGGAATGGTGTAATTTGTCCCTTCGTTTGAGACACTCTACCAGGAAGACCCGCTCAGAACAGCAGCCACGCGAAGCGGCCTCGCCTCATTATCCCTCCATACATATGATAATTAAGCCTAGAGGCGGGATGAAAGATCACTATGGACTCCGGTGTAATGCAGGGCGAGTAGATTCCCCGCGGATGGGATTGGATTCGAGGCTGGCTGAGCAACCATTATTTACAGTACACAACAGCAGGGGGCGAGGCAACACGGTGCAGTATATTTATATGACAAGCCCCTATATTACTCAACACTACTACTGCCGTTTTCATCTCTTCCGTCTTTTTCAGGGAGTATTCCTTCTCGACTACTGCTGTTGCTTAGGATGACCGCGGCTTCGGTATATTAAGATTACATATGCAGGGAGAGCCGGAAAAAAGCAAAGAAATAAGCCGTTGATCAGCTTTCCCACGCCGTTGGTCGAGCAGCCAATCGTAAGTTTGGTCCCCCGGAACCATTGAGTGCGCTAGTGACGACGGGCTGAAAATAGAAGCCCATGGGGAGCTGTCATGTCTCAGACGTGCAGCTTGCCAGATAGTTTTCTTACTTGTATAATGCGGTAGTGCTGGAGGAAGAGGACCCTGATGGGGAACCTGCTGTAGTCTGTTGTTTAATGAATCATTCGTAGCTGTTTACAGTTATCATACACAATAATAGGTAGTTATACAAGTGGTGAGACTCACTATACAGAATAAATGATTGTTTAATTGTGTAAACATGAATACATTTAGACCAATAAAGTCAAGCAAGGAAATGCATACACATCAGATCGCAAAATCCAACATGGCGTATCACCTTTTCGCTCGCACCAAATGTCTCAAACAGGCAGTACTCCATGTCTCAGGCCCCGTTGATGCTACTGCTAGTCATTACGTGTAGAGAGCTGCATAACAAAACTGATGGGCTGAATAACTTCTCCGAACATATATTTAGCTGGTACCATACTACTATATCGCAGTAAACTTGCATGCTTTGTCTTTCGGTTCAAGATAGCCAAGATAAAATAGTACATAAACACGCAGCGCCAGGTATAACTCAAACAAAAAAGGGCCCAAAGATCAACCCCCCCGTCCGCCTCCACCAATGCAAATTAACACTTCTAGATCATCAATGCATATCTCTCATATAGTAAACATCATCCTTCCTCCCTTACAGAAGAAAGAAGCGCATCAATATGATTATCTTAGGCCTCAACAGACTCCTCGCTTGTAACTGGAGCCTCGTCGATGTCAATATACGATGGCGCGTCGAGCAAATCGCCCTTTTCCGTCCACACAGCATTGAGTTCCTTCTCAATCTCTTCTCGCCTCTTCTTCAGCTCGTCTACTTGCGCGAGGCGGTCACGCAGATCCTGCACCTCCTTCTCGACCTGCATCTTCTCGCGCTCGGTTCCGATGCGTTCAAACTCCCAGGAGTCACCATCGTCGCCGGCGCCGAGCTGCAGGTTGTAAGTGTGGTACTTTTTGAGGGAAGCTCGCGTTGAGATGGTGATCAGGGCTACAGATATCATTAGCATTCGTTTCTTGTAGAGCATTACTCCAGGATATTAGAGGAACCAAAGGTACAGGGAGTAACTTACTAATGCCCCTCTCCTTGCACGTTTCGTACAGCAGACCCTCAACGTCACTTGAGACAGCACTTGTTCCCTCGTCGATGATTGCGTACTGTGGCTCGTGGTACAACAGACGAGCAAACTGCATCCTCTGCTTCTCGCCACCACTGAGCACATCCTTCCACTCCTTACGAGTATCCCAGCCTCCCTCACGATCGGGAAGATAGCCGAGGCGAGCCGCTTCCAGGATCTTCTGGAGATCATTCTCAGACTTGCGCTTTTCACGCATATCTACATGGCCATCGGGGTAAATGACTTGATCGCGAAGAGTTCCGGGGCTGAGATATGGTCGCTGGGGCAGGAACATGATGCCGTCTTCGCCTATGCTCTTCGGTCGACTGACCAGGCCGCGGTAAACGGGCCAGAGGCCAGCCAGTACCCTGGATATGGCAGTTTTTCCAACACCATTAGGGCCAGAGATCTAGATACAAAACTCATTAGCCAAGATTCGAGAGGAAAGAAATTCAGTTGTACATACCAAGAGATGTTCTCCCCTCCGAACAATCATAGACAGAGAATCCAGCAACTCTTCTCCGCCCTGAGGCCAGAGTCCAGGAGCAACGACCGGCACTTGCTCGAAGCGAACACCATCAAAGCCCTTCTGGATTGTTCCCTGGACGTCAGACGAAGAGTACAGCTCGCTCTGCCCACTTCGAAGGTAGTAAGCATTGGCATGCACCCGGTGGAGCGTGGAGATGAGTGTATAGACTCGGCTGGTATATCCAGCCAATTCGGCAAGATCCTTGATGGAGTACATCATTCGACCACCCGCATCAGCGAGTGAAAGCATCAGTCGCTTATTGGTAATGAAGCTCTTCATGCGATTTCGCTCTCTGCCGCCCTTCTCTCCGCCCTCGGTCATCTCAGCCGCGCCACCAACTCCTCCCCAGGCTGGCAGGAAGACCGGCAAAGAGGCAAGAAGATAGCCGTAAGCGCTCCAGCTGTACTTGAGAATAAAGTCTTCCAAGATGTTGTAACGAATCTTGAGCATGTAGATGCCTTCCATCCAGCTTTTTAGTGATTTGTACTCCTTGTTGAGGAACGTCTTCTCCATGTCTGCACCGCCATAGAAGGCTACTTCTTCCGCATTGGCAATCAGGCGAGCGTGCAGGCTGCGGAAGTCTCCTTCTTTGCGGCCCTCGACTGCTTTCAGCTTGCCAAATGGCGGGGACAGCTTCCGGAGAATACTTGCGGTTAAAAAGTAGTTGCTCATCAGGCCTATCCAGGCCAAAGGTCCCAAGGACCGGTAGAGCTGGAAGCTAAAGACGCAAATGTCGACAAAGGGCTTGCCCAGAGATGAGTAGAGATTGGCCGCTGAGGCGCAAAACAGAGTCAAATCTTGTGTGATGAACTGATCAGCTCCTTGCCCAACGCCTCCGTCTAAGTTGGATAATTTATAGTAATTGAGGTTTTCGTTCAGGTATATGTCGTGGATATAGCGAGTAAGTCGAGTTCGGAACGCAATAGATACTTTAGATTCGAGGAATTTGATCATAGCATTGGTATAAGAGGCAAATGTGCCCAGTCCACACCACTAGGAGAGGAAATAGGAGTTAGAATTGCTGCATGCCACACGAAGACGGAATTTCGGCAAACATACCTTTACGATGCCCCAGAGAAACGCTTTACCGTGGCCAGCAACGAGATCTCGGACAAGCTCTCCATCTAAGCGAGCCACCACCAGTGACAGGTACGTTCTCAACATCAAGAAGACGCCGTGGCTAAGCAGGAGACCGGCTTCCTTGCTTGACCACCGGGGAATCATGATACTCATAAGACTAAGGAATTGATGCAGGAACGCTAGATTCAAGCCCGGTTTTGTCTGAGCAGAAGGAACCGTCCCATCGCCAAGGCCCGATACTCTTGGAGGATTGAGAAACAGCCGTCTATGCGCCTCGAACGTCAAAGGCTTCGTGGTATTGATGACGACTTTGGACGTGCCATCTTTGTAGGGGACGTATATCGTTCGAGAGCCGTCCTTGTTGTGCAGCCATGAATTGGTGCGGACCAGCTTCCGGCCTTGTTCGTGTTCGTGTCGTCGCTTCTTCCACCACCGCCTGCTGCCCTCAGCGCCGAGGATAATGGACAAGGCGAGCGAGAGCGTGGCGAGAGTGCGAGTGGTGCGCGACGTAGACCGCAGCCTCTTGCCCAGGATGCCGGTCCATTTCTCCATAAACTCGGCCAGCGCATCCTCCGCCGCCGTCCTGCGCAGATTCGACTGTGCCGCCATGATTTATTCCCAGTCGATATCGGTATCAGTATTCGGTGCGGCTGCCGGACGAGCTCCTCGAACGCTTACAGCGTCGCAGATCCGGGTCTAAACAATGTCGGGGCAGGTCATCAAGCCCAGCGTCTGCGCGCGTGGGCGTTTGTGTCGCTTGGCAGAAGAAAATCAGAAAAGTCAGCGCATCAATCGTGGTTGCAACCAAAGCAGCTGCTGGGAAACACCACCCGCAGTCTGCTTCGCTCTAATGGTGGATGTTTTGTTGGAGAGCGATCGAAGCCGGGATTGGGGACATGTGAACCGCGCCATCCAGATTTCCCGAGGCCCAGCCAAATGGCCCCAAAACAGAGCAATGACGGAACCGCCCCAGAAGTAGCTACACGTGACCCCACACTGGCATGGGGGCGATTTTCCGGGGAAGCTCCTTTCACATGATTTCAGATTGTTGTTGATGCCGCTACTTGTATTTGGCATGTGTGGTAAGGAAGGCAGATGCGATCGCAGAGAAGATTCATAGAGGCTATATCGAACAATTATCGAGTAGTCGATAGAATGACTGGAATGTACCTAACTATTGAATACTAATCTAGTTGTCAGTTGCATCTCCTTCCACATACGATCCCCAATTATCTAGGGAAAGCATATACAGTTATTCTCCATTTCGTATCGTAGCTCGTCCAATGACTGCCGGTTGATGACGTGTTTCTTCGTCCTGAGCAGTTCAATAACGTCTACATATCCCCGTACTTCTTCGATATTCTCGATGAGACGGTGCTCTACATCCAATTTCTCGCTGCGATGATTTTTATATCCCACCTTTCGCCAGATGTCAAGGACATATGGGCCAAAGACCAGCTCCCAGGTGCCAGTCCACGAGACGACGGCTTCACCGCGTTCAGCATAGTAGGCGAAAATAGCCGCATATCCTAAGCCGCCATTCCATATTTCCAGGGTTTGGAGCATGGGCATCGCAAGTGCGGCCACGCCAGCCGCTAGGAGCATCCCGTTAATCTCGTCAACATCTCGGTTAGAATCCAGGAGATACGATGTCAATGTCAGAGATCGCAAGTTTCGCCAGACCCACTCTGGTTTATACGCCTGGAAGAAGTCTCTTGCCTCGATGAAAAAGGTTGCCGCGATGTTCTCAAATCCGAGGGACTTATTCGCCAGCGCCACGCCATTGTTGTAGTTTGGTTTTCGAACGTGTTTCTCGTTCGCCGCGCTCGATGGCGTGAGAGCAGTTGTCACCATAATTTCATTTCGATCTTCCAAGAAGACAAGCTGTTTCAATGTCGCAGGTAACGAACCTTTTATGAGATTCACATATCCTAGTAAGTTTTTTAATGAAAGTTGTTAGTCAATAATGTCGCTCAAGCATAGATGTGAAACGTCGGCATACCTGCGTCGACCATGTCCTGGATTGTTTCCAAGGGCTGTTTCCATGGCTCATAGGCCAAGTATTCCAGGTTTGGCAGTCTGCTGATAATTTGATGTAGCGTAAATGAAGTAAAACGTCGACGAGTATGTCTAGGTATGAGAAGTGTTTTTACCAGCTTCAGCCGAGGAAGCTGATTGTCGAATCTGATGTGCACATATCCACCAAGTGCTCTGGACGCAGCGAGTTCAATATTATTGGTAGTTCGATATTGATTCTCCGTAAACGGCACGCGCATATCAAGACCTTTTGCATGCACTCCTCTGGGGATGTAGGTAGAGTTGCTCGGCGAATGGACGCTCAACTCCAGAGTTATGCCACGAGCATCTGGCTTAACCACCTTTTCCCAGGAGCTGAGTATGGAAAAGAGCCTCACTATGGTGCCTTCGATCCGGTCATTGTATGCCGCTGTATCTTCCAGCAGTTCCGGCCTTACTGATCCTGTCCTTTGCAAGGGGGAGTAATTCTCAAGCAAAATGCGAAGCCAGATGTGTTTAACGTATGGCCAACAACGTTTTGGGATCTTGGCGAGACGGAGAAAGTCATCATCATCTATGGTCAGGCTGCGAAAATTTGCCTTTTCGAATATTTTCTGCCACGACTTGCAGACGAGAGCGTAATTGGTCAACCCATGCTTCTCGAAGCTGCTCTGCGCCAGGGTCTCCAGCACTTGAAGCCTCAGCTCCTCCGGGAGCATGCTCCACCTAGACCTCATGGTTGTAGATTGAGGAGATGTGTGGATCTAACGGTATTCAACGGTGATGAAATAGCCTTGAGCTTTAGTGATAGAAATTGGAGTGTTGCATTCGACAGTTGCATGATAGCCAGAGAGGTGAAACTTGTCACCCCATGATACGACCCTTTTTTTTTTTTCAACAATTATCACATTGAGATGATGAGTAATATGAACAGAGGTGTTGAACGTTTGAGTTTTTGGGGCAGATCTTTTGGCGGGTTCTGTGACGCCTCCAGATGGAAACTGGGCCGGCTGCCTGGAGAAAAACCTGAGATTTGAAAAGCCCCGAAAACGATTGCGCCAGCCGCAGACGGCCCCACATTTACAGCTTGAATCGCCAACCAGATCTGGCCGACAAGATGCAATACTGTAGGTAGTATCAGCACAGCAATTTGACGTGTGCAATGAAACAGCCTCTGTGCTAGTAAGGCTTTGGTATCTCATCTTTACGTAGGGCCAAAGTTGCCTGTGTTGTGCAGCATATTTCCTTTTGACGTTCTGGCAGAAGGATTTGCCCATAACATGGAGCAGCGGAGCCTCTATTCCCCTGTTGAAACTCTTGATTGATATTATTTTCTAGTATGCGCCACCCAGATTAGCGAGATTCACAAAAGAACAAAGAAATATGTTTAAAAAAAGCAAAACAAATACCGCTAGAACTCTATTACTATCATGACTCCCTCCTGTAAGTATTCAACGGAACATTATAAGTGAATGAAGCTGCTTTTCTCGAGCTGATACCGCCCTACCCTGCAACACCGCGCATTTTCGGACTGGTAAGGCGCCTAGCCTATAATTAGCTTGCAGCTTGCCCAGAAGCTCAGGCACCTAATCTGCGAGAGCCATCGATAGCCAAATTTGCTATGGAGCGCTCCATCATGCTACTGGGCGCTACTGGGCTAGCAGATGTGACGGAGGGACCCATAGGGCCCTAGTTAGGTACCAAGTAGATGAGGGCACCAGCCACACGCCTCTGTGCAACCACACGCAAACAGGGTCGGAACAATGCGCCCGGGAAGCCAGTACAGACAGCTCGGTGCGCGAACAGCTGGCCATCTGCACGGCCGCAGCACGCACAGCAGCTGCGTGCCCGCCATGTGCCAGCGCTGCCGCATGCCAATCAGCGATGCCGTACATATCCCCAGCAGCTACAATTACATACAGGCCCCGTTCTCCGTATTGCGACGGAGCCCAGAGCTCCAGCTGCGCCAAATCACAAGGCATTGCCGGGATGCGTTGCTGGGAGCCTGCAAGACGCCCCATGCGCCAATATACGAAGCGAAGCCAGCACCTCTTCACCGAGGCCATTTTTCTCCAGCGGCAGCTCGCTCAGCGGGTATGCTAGTGCTGCGACTGGCTCGCCGGGGCAAGATGTGAACGATCCAGAGGCTGGGCGCCAACACAGCCAATCAAAAGGCCCGGATCAGGGCTCTTCACCCGGCACGCACAAGGAGAGGGGATTGGCGGCGCCCGACTTTCTGGGGGAGGTCTTTTTTCTTCTTGTTCCTGCTGCCCGCCTCCCTTTGTCTGCTCTGATTTGTTTGTCGGCAGTGGCCAGTAGGAGCTCGGGAGCCCAGGAGCAGCCAGATCTCGACCCACCGTCCATCCACGCCATGGGGGGCAGCCTAGAGAGAATGGAAGCCATCGACAGGCTTGGCGCAACTGCAGCGCAGCGATGCGAACATGCACGCCGGCTGCGGTGCACAGGTGCGAGTTGAGGACGAATGTGCTCGCGGCCTAGGCAGGTTTTCGGCATCGGTGCTGTAGGTGGCATCTGGCAGCCCGTGCTTTGTAGGCCCAAGCAAACTACAGGTACCTATCTAGTACCTAGGTGATAGCACCGTAGGGAGAAGTTGCATGCTTCGTATCCTCTGGCACGGCGTCGAGAAGCTGCCCAGCACCAAAAATTGCCTTCCATGTGTCGCAGCGTGTGAGCGGGCCGCCGTGCAGAGCGCCGGCCGTGGCCACGCCTCTCCTAAAGAGGAACAGAATGAAGCCCACAATTTGGACGTTGGACAGTAAGATGAGAACTTGGCGGCCGCCATTATTAGCGGAGATTTGGGACAGGGCGCCACTGTGCGGTCGCGATTTTACTGCGCTAACTATGGAACAGTGCGGATACCGAATATGTAACTGGTGTATATGGCGCAAAATAGCTGCTGGGATACAGTGCCCCAGCGTCACGAGCCGAGCTGTACACACTGTCTGCTGTTTCCGCTCTATCGCCCGGAGCCAGCTACGTATCCAAAGGCAGAGACGCCAGAGCTGTTGGCTAATCTCGACAAGGCCCACCCACACCTTGAGCACCCCCCAAAATCTCCCCCAGCCGCCGTCCCTGCACGCCGGACCATCCCCGACATGGCCCAGCCAAACCATCACGTTTAAAGGCAATCATCTCGCTTGTGCCCTCAGTTTCTTCGGCCTCCGGTACGTCGTTGCCGCTGCCGTCGCCTCGACTCTTCCCCCAACCATCCTCCCTCCTGATCGCGAGCAAAAACCTGCCATCACGAACCGTCTCCGCGCTGACACCGGTTGTTTGCGGCGACTCACGCTCGTACTGGCAGCGCTCTGCCGTTCAGTCTCTGCCCGACTCTTGACTCTTGCGTCGTCTTATTTCCTTTTTTTCCTGCGTCGACTCCCTAAATCTTGCGTACCCGTCGGGCGCGTCTCAGCTCCTCGCCAACCCCCGGTAACTTTCGTTGGAAAGGGCATTTCGGAGAAACGAACGGCACGCCGCTGCCAAACGCCCCTTGCGGGCTGACATTCTTTTTTATTTTATTTTCCATTTTCATTATCCTCTTGTTTTTAAACTGTCTTGCCTTCTGTTTCTTCCTTTCCTTCTTTTGACTGCGTTGAAAGCTTGGAATTGGGAGCTGGCTAGCTTGCCTTGAGTACTCTGAGGTAAGTGTACATGCATAAGCAGCTGCGCTAAAGCTGCGCAATTTTACATTGCCTTGTCCACAATTGTCTACGATGAGCTGTTCTACTATCAGGCTGGGGGAGATGTCTTTGGCAATGGAAAGCAAGTGCTGTGGCGATTTGATCCCCCATCTGTGATGGCGCCTCATTCCCTCGCCAACTACGCCCTCTAGCCCTGCATTGCGTTTTCCTCTTCTTCTTTCCTTCTTACTTTTTTGCGGCCCAATCGAGCCTCGAAGCTGGAAACGACGTTGCATCTTCAAAGCGCACGGCTAAAAGCGCATCGCCTCGCCCTATCGCGATTTGTGATTGATCAAGTAAGGCTGACAAACCCAATGCAGTAACGGTTCGCAATGTCCGAAACAGCCGTGGCGACGACCGCGATCGTCGACTTCAAACAAGATAAAGTCCCGCTTAGTTCCGGCTCGGGAAAAGAAAAAGATATGTTGTCGCCGGAGGATGGAGAGAGCTCCGACAAGAGCCGGGGACTCTTAAAGGTGCCGTCGCGAGCGTCATCGCAGCAGAGGAACCAATCTTCGACGACCACGACTGGGTTAAGCGGGGCCACGATCAACGATCCACGCAGCAGCATGGGCAACAGGTCATCAAAGGGCAGCTTTTTGGATAGACAGCGAAACGGAAGCTCCAGCGGCGATGCTGAGCCTGCTCGTACGACCGAGATTTCGCAGCCCAGCTCTCCTTCGGTCAACGAACAGAAACGAAAGAGGAAGAAGAGCAGTGGATTCTTGGCATTGTTGGGATGCTGTGGCGTACCCGATTCGGCCAATACCGTGGGCTCTACCCAGGAGATTCACAAGCTGGATAGAATACCCCAAAGACCATTGACGGCCAAGTCAAGAACGCAGACGCCCCACGATCAGACCCCGACCAAGCAAAGCAACGAAAAGCCACCCGTGCCCACAAGCGCCGCCCTGCAGGGCAAGGATGACGCCGTCTCGTCGAGCAGCACTCAGGAGCAGACCAAGTTGCAGGAGCCGGCAGACCAAGAGACAAAGCATCTTGGCCCAACCCTTACAGTCGATCCTCCGACCCCTCTTCCCGAGCCGAACGAAGAAGTTCGAGAGATAGAAGAGGTTGAGGAAGATGCGGAAATGCATGATGTGCCGGTAGCAGAGGAAACCCCAGAGGTGCAGCCAGAGGTGGCACAGCAGGAAGCTCATGATACCGCGATGCCCCCTCCCCCGCCTGGTCCTGGTCCGAGCCCTCTGCTGACATCGGCACTCGTTTTGACGCAAGAAGGGCCCTCAGCACCAGAACCTCAAAAGTGGCTTTTGCCCCCTATTGCCCCCGAGCACAAAGGAAGAAAATGCCTTGTTTTGGATCTAGATGAGACTTTGGTCCACAGTTCATTTAAGGTTTGTTCTCCCCCTTATTGATATGCAATATCATGCTTTTTGGCTAACCACAAGCCTCCAGATCCTTCATCAAGCCGACTTCACGATACCGGTTGAAATTGAAGGCAACTATCATAATGTGTATGTCATCAAGCGACCTGGTGTAGACGAGTTTATGAAGAGAGTTGGAGAACTTTACGAAGTAGTAGTCTTTACGGCATCAGTTTCTAAGGTGAGTGTAGCTTTTTCCTGAACCTTTGGCAGAAAGAAAATGGGCTGACCCGCGCGTGCGCAAAACTAGTATGGCGATCCTCTCCTAGATCAATTAGATATACACGGCGTTGTTCATCATCGTCTGTTCCGCGAAAGTTGTTACAACCACCAAGGAAATTACGTCAAAGATCTCTCACAAGTTGGTCGAGATTTGAAGGATACAATCATCATCGACAACTCACCTACCTCATACATTTTCCACCCCCAGCATGCCGTTCCCATCAGCAGCTGGTTTTCTGACGCGCATGACAACGAGCTGCTAGACCTTATACCCGTTCTTGAGGACCTCGCTGGCCCCGGTGTTTCTGATGTCAGCCTGGTTCTCGATGTCACTCTCTGAGATACCATACCCCCTCAAAAAATTTCCTTTGATTTCCTTTTTTCCTTTTTCATCTTCAGCAATAAAACAACAGCCCGATTCGCAGCATTGCCGTCATAGCGGGAGGCGTTTGGTTGGAAATCTCTTCGTTTCCGGGTGTAGATGTACCGTCTAATCTTACATAATCGGCCTCGATCTATGGAACGCAGCTCCTCAGCCTGCGGAAGTTCTTTTTTCTTATTTTGTTTTCCTTCTCCGTCATCAAGACCGAGAAATTAGCGAGGCCGGCTGGGAGTTTGAATTGACCAAGATCTCCAAACTCGAAAGAAAAGACAGAAACGTTTCTAAAAAAAAAAGGAGGAGGGTCAAATGAACGTCTTGGGACAAGAAAAGACCATTCTTTTCTATAGATTAAGGATTGTTTTCCAAATCCTCACTGCCCGGGCAACGGGCTCGCATATACGTCGGTCCCGTGCATTGGAGCTTTGGGGATACGTCTCACACCTCGAGCGTCTCAAAAGATTGTTGGCAATGTCTGGGCTGTTATGCTGTAATCGTTCTCTGGCAAGCTGGCATTTTTCTCACACCCTTTTTTATTTTTCTTTCTTCTTCTTCTTCAATCTTCTTCATCATACCTTCTTCATCTTTATCTCTCTCTCTCTCTCTCTCTCTCTCTTTCTGTGATTCCCTTTGTGTTTCTTTTCTCTTTTCTCTTCTTCTCACTTTTTATACACTTGTTTTTTTGCCTGTCTTGCATTGTTTTTGAACTATACACATACCACGCGGCGAGTCTGCGAAGCAGGTTTTGAAGGGAGGACAGCGACTGAAGCGGAGTAAAGCTGAGATGGCGGCGAACATGGCTAGCGAAGGTTTTTGGAGGTTGCTTGAGGGGCCTCCTTCATACATAGTCCCCCCCAAATTGTAAAAATACCCCGAGCCTCTATATGGCCTTTGTAATGAATCAATGTGAGATACTCAGAGTATATGTTGATAGGAAAGCGTTGCGGTTTATTGGTTGCAAGAACGATAAATTGTTTTAGCTTTTAAGCTTCTTTATAATTAGTTTCACTTTTTCATTATGAAAAGTCTCCAAAGTCGCTCTTCCTGAAGTAAACTATGTGCTAGTCCTATTCATTTATGCCGTTGATTGATTAACTAATGAAACCGTCCATATGGCGCTGCTTTCAAAAAGCCTCCATCACGAGTATACTGATTGGAACTCAATAGATAGACCTCTACAGTGCAATGCAATGCGTGCGCTAAAAGTGTGGGTGCGCGTCCGCTTCTCTGGGGTAGCGGAGAAATGTTCGGCCGCCAGTACTGGATTTCTGTGAATGTGGCCTTAACTCGTTGGTTTCCTTGGGGCCACAATTCCAGCCCGTGCTGCGCCAACTCCAACCACTTCTACTCAAGTACATCCCTCCTACTTCGCACTCTTGTCAATTCGATTCAAGAATCCTGCAGCGATTCGTGGTCGATTCTTTCCTTTTCTTCTAATACCCAACAGCACACTCCTTCATTATGGTATGTGCGCGCTTCTCGTTCTGTTGAAATTGAGAATCCATTGGGGAAAGACGGCTTTGCGGCGCTCGTGGTGTATCGCGTCACAAGACCGAATTGCTTGATGCGCTTTGCAACCTGCGCGCTTTGCAATGGATACTATTTTGAGGTTTACTTGGTTGCTAATGCCTTGCAGTCTTCTCGTCCCTCTTCACCCGCCAATGGCCCCGCCGCGGCCAGCGGTTCCAGCATCAGCCGACCTTCCTCTCCCACTCCTCCCGGCGGACCCCGAACTGCCATTCGTCGACGTGCTGCTGCCGATCAGAAGGAGAAGCTTGCCAATGCTAGGCCAAGCAGCACACGGGCCGCTGGCGCTGGCGGCTCCAGCAGCACCATGCTGAGTACGTGCTATAAAGCTTTGTCGCATGGGAGATTTATGTGCTAACGTGGATAACTGCAGGACTCTACACTGACGAGTCACCCGGACTGAAGGTTGATCCCGTCGTTGTTCTGGTTCTGTCTCTGGTTTTCATCTTCAGCGTTGTTGCTCTGCACAGTGAGTTGTTGCTCGTAATGATTTGATATCATGGAGTTTATGTGTTTGCTAACTTGTCATATAGTCATTGCCAAGATCAGCCGCAAGTTCTCGAGCTAAACGACCTTCTTCAATGAGAAATCTGGAATGATGTGGAAAGAAGAGGGAGAGACAAAGGATGGTATACTATTTGGAGTGAAAACGGTTCCAAGAACGGCGCAGGTTTCTTTGAAATACCATATCTAGCTGCCACGAGGCTGATTGCGGAGGAAAAAGGCTTTCACATGTGGATGTATGGATTCGGTAGATCCATTCTGCCCACCCTAATCACCATGGAGTCTGAGCGACCATGACATTTTTTTGTATTATATGAGCAACAAAGTTATTTCAATTCTCGTATGCGTTTTTTACTACCAAAGTCTGCGTTGTTCTATGTTTTCGTAATCACGAGAGAGCTCGCCTTGGGTGATAGGAGCTTGGGAAGGGAATCGGCCTAGCAGCAATATCCTTCTTGGGCGATAGAAGATTGTTCCCAAATAGGAATTCGTAAAGCGCAGCTATCTATCTCACTGCTTATTCAACACAATCTCTACTTCTATACCCCCTTTCTGGTCTTGCTGGTGGATATCACACCCGGAACTTATTCCGTTGTGTGGCTGCATGTAGCTCAAATATATCCATAATGGTAACTGGCTGGAGGACAGCCGCATGAAACAAAGTATCCAGTGGGCTGTGTACCATGAAGAGGATCTGCGCCTACTTGCATGTACCTACATAGAGTGACTGCCTTGTTTATAATTAGCAAAGCTACTAAGAAAGCTAAAAATCAAGCAAACAATTTGAAAAGCATAAGAAATTGCATCTGCGGAAGTTCCCATTATGTGACAACATGTAAATTCTCTAGCCGTCGGCGATTCCATATCATGCGCTGGGCAAATGATTAATGGGCGGCTAGTAATGACGGGCTCAGTCATCGGCCAGAGCCTGTCAATCACCGCCACCAGCGCTGGCCATCACTGAAGTTCTAGGCGTATTAGTGGGCAGCTGGAACTAGCCGCCTCCAGCACTGACGCAGACACGGAGCACCGACTGTGCGATCGCTGGAGCGCTCTAGGCTCTCATACGCGCATTCAAATACAGGGGTGTGGTATTGAGTGTGTGTGCTAGGCCGCGATGATATCAACCGCTGTGCGAGCTGCGACAAAGCTTTGAGGCCTCTTCTCTCATGAGCGCCCACGTCATCGCCGACCGTCGAAATCAGGTTAAGTTCGAAGCCGCAACCTTCGTTTTCTGTGTTTGTGTTGCCATTGAATTTGTTGCGACTCGGACAAAGCAAACGATCGATTCTTATCAGCCCGGGCAACCATGCGTCTGTACATCTGCAGGTGACGCTCACTCACACAATTCGCCCCAAGCTTGCACCTTTGATCAAGCGCCGTTCGGGCCTCTCTCGTCTGCTCTCTACTTCGTTCCAACCGCAATTTGCGTCTGAGCAGAGAGAAGATAACTCTGCATTGATTTTTTCGGGGACCGGCCTTTAACCATGGCGCCCGACGAGAACCAGCGCAGTCACCCCAAGAGGCAGCCCTCGACAAGAACCCCGCCTCGCCGACGAGATCGGGCTACGTCTGAGGCTCTGGTGACGGACGGCTTCGTGCTTCCCGCCCTCGAAGCACCTGCTGATGCGCCTCCGGCGTACGGAAGCCATCATGACCAGCTTCAGTTCAAGCGTAGTGGATTTGACGCCGAGGCGGCTGTAACAGGTGCGTATCTGGCCTGCTATCTCACCTCTCTTTTACGCCGCATTGCGCTGTGCATGAGAGGGGTCATCATCATATTCTTGTTTTCTTCTTCTTCGATGAGCATCGGCGTGCTAATATTGATGCTCCAGGCGATGGAAGAATTAACATTAATATCAACACCAAGAACCACAGGCTTGCTGAGCTTCTTGCGCCAAGTATCGCCAACCAAATAGCCGTGACGGTCCAGCCGACACGGCCACCGGTATACACCCTCCCGAGTCTCGCTGGTGAGCCTGGCAAGCAGCCTCCACCGCGGCTCAATGTCGTGATTCAAATTGTTGGGTCGCGTGGCGATGTCCAGCCCTTTGTTGCGCTAGGAATAGTCCTCAAGGAAAAGTATGGCCATCGGATCCGCATTGCAACGCACCCGACGTTCCAGAAGTTTGTCGAAGAGAATGGCCTTGAGTTCTTCAGCATAGGGGGAGATCCCGCCGAGCTAATGGCTTTCATGGTGAAGCATCCAGGACTCATGCCTGGTCTGGATGCTTTGAAGAGCGGCGAGATCGGCAAGCGCCGCAGAGGTGTTCAAGAGATGCTGCTTGGGTGCTGGAGATCTTGCATTGAAGCGGGTGATGGACTGGGACCACCGCCGGAACCACACAGAAAACTCGAGCCCTGGGATCCGGATGCTGGTATGCCTGGAGATCCAAATCACGAGCCCTTTGTGGCCGACGCGATTATTGCGAACCCGCCTAGTTTCGCTCATGTTCATGTTGCAGAGAAGCTTGGTATTCCTCTGCACATGATGTTTACGTGAGGAACCCTTAAAACTACGCCCTACCCCTCGCCACTAACATATCCTGTAGAATGCCTTGGTCACCTACGCGAGCGTTCCCTCACCCACTGGCGAATGTCCAATACTCGAATGCCGACGATGTTCTCACAAACTATTTGACTTATACTCTGGTTGAAATGATGACATGGCAGGGATTAGGAGACATCATCAACCGATTCCGTGAGAGCGCATTAGATCTGGCTCCCCTCTCGCTTATCTGGGCTCCGGGTCTTCTCAACAGATTGAAGATCTCTTACACTTACTGTTGGTATGTATTCGGCGGAGTAGCCACCTCCAAGGCCATCTCTCTGACAACCTTTGTAGGTCACCGGCGTTGATTCCGAAACCGAATGATTGGGGCTCGCATATTGATATATCGGGATTTTACTTCTTGAATCTTGCTTCCTCGTTTACTCCAGAACCTGATCTTGCCGCCTTTTTAGAGGCTGGCCCTCCTCCAGTCTATATCGGCTTTGGCTCCATTGTGGTTGACGACCCAAATGCCATGACCAGGATGATATTTGATGCTATCCACCTTGCTGGCGTCCGAGCTCTGGTGTCGAAAGGCTGGGGAGGCTTGGGAGCTGATGCGGTGGGACTACCGGATGGCGTATTCATGCTTGGCAATGTTCCTCACGACTGGCTCTTTGAAAGAGTTTCTTGCGTCGTTCACCATGGAGGAGCTGGAACAACCGCCGCTGGTATAAAAGCTGGTAAACCCACCCTTGTGGTTCCCTTCTTCGGGGACCAGCCATTTTGGGGCGCCATGATCGCGAGAGCCAAAGCCGGACCTGATCCGATTCCCTACAAGGCGTTGACAGCAGAAAATCTTGCTGAGGCGATCCAATTCTGTCTCAAACCGGAAACGCAAGATCAAGCAAAAGCGCTTGGCCACAGGATTCGTGAAGAAAACGGCACAGAAACGGGCAGCCGAAGCTTTCATAACCACCTTGACATCGATTCTCTGCGCTGTTCCGTAGCCCCCAGTCGAGCTGCGGCTTGGCGCCTGAAAAGAACAAAGGTGCGGCTTAGCCCACTGGTTGCTGCGGTCCTCGTCAAGCAAGGCCTCTTGAAGTATACCGATCTTAAACTGTAAGAAGAAAAATGACAATCCAACTTGTTCTCGAATACGATGCTGACCATCTCTAGATACCGCCTTTACGAGTACAATACGGAGGATCAGCCTCCCGATCCAATCTCAGCAGGTGCTTGCTCTCTTGTTACTGACATTAGCGACATTGGCATGGCCATAGTGGATATGCCTTTGGATATACTGAAAAGCCCTAAAAAAGCTAGAGAATCTTTAAAGGACAGTGGCAGTCAGGCTAGCGGCGATGATAGTGATACAGGATCAAAACGAAATTCGACTCTGGACCGTCCTGGTGTTAAGTCACCAGTAAGGACCAGCGGAGAATCTGCCGGAGAAACAAGCGCTACCTCAGGACAGCTTACCCAGTTTCCGACAGTGCCAACGCAAATTGGTCGAACAAGATCCCCGACCGTCGAGAGCCAGGGCAGCCGTTCATCATCTCGCCGAAGGGCACTCTCTGCAGCCGCGACTATGGAGGCTGCAGTGGGCACGACAAAAAACGTCGGGCGTATCGTGACTACAGGAGTAAAGTCGCCCATGAACTTCTGTCTTGGGCTCGCAAAAGGTTTCAGGAATATCCCGCGGTTGTATAACGACGACACCGTTCGATCAATTGAAAAGGTCACAGATTTCAACAGCGGCGTGCGTGTTGCTGGGAAAGAGTTTGGGTTCGGCCTTTATGACGGCATTTCAGGACTGTTTACGCAGCCAATGAGAGGAGCACAGAAAGAGGGCGCTGCTGGGCTGATCAAGGGCATTGGAAAGGGCATTGGAGGAATCATGACGAAGCCTGCGGCAGGTGAGCAATATTATAAGTGTCTAGGTTTCAAGATGAGCTAACAATCAGCGTGCTAGGTTTTTGGGGTCTCCCAGCATACGTGATGCAGGGTGCCTATGCTGAACTGAACAAATTCCTATCAAGAAGTGTGCAGAATTACATCATCACATCAAGGGTTGTTCAAGGTGAACGGGACCTGCAGAGTGCGTCAGAGGGAGAGAAAGCCGATATCATCTATCGCTGGAACCAAGACTCTGATTTGAAAATCATTCAAGAAACAAAACTGAGGGGACAAGACAGGGAACATTCCAGAGTCGGGTCTGGAGGCGGTCCGACCTCTTGGTTTCCTACCCTCCAGGATGGGCGGCGTCAAATGGGGGCTGCATTGGAGGAAAAGCCGCGGCGACAACGATCGCGATCAGGCCGAATCCCAAGGCGCCTTTCCCTTTCCCGCTCCTCCTCTCCTGCGCCGGTGAATTGGGAAGAATCACTCAATGCCGACGCAGAATTTGAGGAAGCCATCATGGCCTCTGTCAGAGAGACTTCTCGCGGAGATGATGAAGAAGACGCCATGATTGAAATAGCTATTCGCGAGAGCATCATGGCGATGCAGCAGCAGGGCTCTTCTCTACCTGATCCCGTTCGCCTGAAAACAGAAGGAAGTAAGAATTCAGACGTCTTCGAAGACGAGGAGTACAAAATTACGGATGAAGAGTATCAGAATCTCATCGAGCAGGCCATTCGCGAGAGCTTGACTGGGCACGAGAAAGAACTTTCTATCCTGCCAGGTTCCAGCTCACGGGACCTCGACATCAAGTTTGCGCAGACTGATGAGCCGCGCAGCAGTGGCCCAGCATTTACCCCAAATACCAACGAAGATGCCGACTTACAGCGGGCCATTGATGAGTCCCGCAAGGTGCCTCCTACTTTGCCCCCGCGAGAGAAAGAAGACGATGAGGAGGAACACTTCCGGAGGGCTGTTGAGGCATCGATGAATGAAATGGAGCGGTTGAAGAAAGAGAAGACGGAGGAAGAGATTGTTATGGAATATGTCAAGAAGCAGAGCTTGGCCGAGGAAGAATTTAAGAATCGGAAGGATCCTAAAGGCAAAGGGAAAGAGGTATCTGAAGTTGCGAGTAATGCTAGCGATGACGAGGAGCTAAAACGGGCTATTGAGGAGAGTTTGAGGATAAATGGCGGAGACGGCGATGGGCCGTCAGGGTTGTAAGTGGCGAAAGGGCAAAGAATGAAAGGCTTGAAACCGATGCATTGTATGGAGCGATATAAGATAAGATATCCCATTGAATGTTTTTATTAATTCGTTGTACAACTGATATGGCCGGTCGCGTAATGCCACTACTAAAACGGATTATAAGGTAGTGACCAATTTCATAAAACTTTCCTATTCCTATAACACTAATTCACCCTGTTTATAAAATCCGGATGTGCTCTTGATATATGGACTAGAATAGCGACTATTTTCACATATGTGGTTCAAGTTCAATTGAAAACCAAAGAATTTCGTCATCAAGCCATACCCCCGCCCCCTGTAGATTGAAAACTTGTTGCATTACTCGTCTAGTCATCAGATGTGTCTCGGGGCGGTAACGATGAGTTGTGAGCCTAAGCAACGCCAGGATATATTCCTGGTGGTACCCATTCGGCCCTTCGCCAATCCAGGCTGTGGCATTTGGTTGTTCATAGCTCCTTCAAAGCCGTAGGCCAGTCGGTGCTTCACCACCCGCGGCAGCATTCGAAGCCCGCCAGTTCCCTGCGATGGGCGGTTCTGCATTGGAAACCTGCGTAGCTCGCCACGGCCCTGCCTGTATCATGGCCTCTCTAGATCTCACGACTTATCTGCAGGCGCTTACTGAATTTCTTTGCTGGAGAGCTGGGAGTCGATCAACAGCTGCATTTCTGAGCTGTGACTTAGCCGTATCTTGCTGGACGTTGGCCTTGGGGCTGTTGCTGGCCCCATCCTGGATTTGCCGGCGGGGGAAACGGACCAGGCCCGGCGTTGCCGCCTTCGGCCATGGAGACGACATCAGGACGATTCTTTAGCGGCTGGTGGAAGTTGCATATGTGACAGACTACTTCAACAAAGCCGGAGATGGTGAATGGGATGATGGGCTGTGTTGAGATGTTAGTCTGATGATTCATGTATCCAATCTCATATAATCGTAACTGATTCAGAGCTTTGTCTCAGACGCGAAATAGATGCGGCCATGCAAGCATTTTTACACGCTCTGTGAGTATGAGAAAGAAGAATAAACGTAAAATAATGACTTACAACAAAGCAAAAGGTGAAAAAAGGCCGGCTTTTGATGACTCGAGCAGACATGTTGCCACAGTTGTGGCACTGGCAGATGACGCCCTCATAGCCCTTGACGTCTGAGCGAAAGGTGTGCTGGCCGCAGACGAAGAAGAAGAAGACCATGGCGGGCAGTTGGATACGCGAATTAGGAAGAAATTTGACGATGAGTGAGGTGGAAAATGGGAAAGAAAGTGAAGCTATAATGATGATAGAAAAAGGAGGCTGTGTATAAAAAGCGGAGAGGAAGATTAGAAGGAAAAGAAGGTTAGTTACGTATGCGCCAAGTCTATTCTCTTGGCGGGCTGATGGTTGTCCGATCGGGGTGATTTGAAGGGCAGGCGCGAACGATGATTGACGCTGCCTTCCCCGCGAGAGGCGGTTGGTTTCGGGCTAAGCTGGATTCGGTGCTGCTGCAAGTAAGGGCATAAGTACCTTGTATTTTTAACCGCAGCTATAAGTGGCAAGATATCTGCAACAAAGGAGTTTATAAACATCTGGCAGACCATAGTTATGAGCTGAAGTTTAATGATCTATTTCAACAAAAAAATAATTGTTGATTCTTGGCTTGAACAAAGGTCTCTTATTTACTGGGTACTTAAAGGCCACTGCACCTGAAGATGTCTCTTCCCTTTTTGCCAATAGTCCTGCCAACTCTATCCACTCTCCTTATAACCTACAATTATTCATGACTCAAGCACATACGACCATAGGTAATGGAAAATTCGGGGTCCCGTCTGCTCCCCCATAGACAAGCCATTAACCGGCAGATTAGTAGTTGAGTGGGTGACCATCAGCGAACACCGGCTGTTGTATGTTTTCTTTTTTTGTGTTTTTCTCTATCATGTAGATTGGCCTGTTTGTTGGATGCTTTTCTTTTACTCTTTTTGGTGGCTGTGTGTGGTCTATACAAGTAGACTAAGCATGGGATTAAGCATATATAACCATGCGTAATGGAATATTCAGAGTTTAAAAAGGGTAGAATTTAGCATTTGCTTAAATGACTTGAAAGAATACCTTTCTTATATTGGTACCATTCATTCTTTTTTTATTAACCTCCCATTGTAGATAGAGTTTAGTGAGTTTGGCTTTTATCTATCTACAAACCAATGCCTTTTCATGAGTGAGAGGATGAGATGCCGATGTAGTTTTTCACGCCGAGGTGTAACTCCTTCAAAGCGCAACATGTCTTAGATTTACCAAGTACATACGCTGACTATTACAAAATTATATGCCATAAACAAAGCATCATCCCATCATATGCCTAACCAGTCTGCTTCCAACTCTAAGCGCCGAGATCGCAAGGGAGAGAGCCGCAGCAGAATCCGTGGCCCGCACTTAAAGCGCCCTCAAAGTCAATGTTGTGGCATCCGTCACTGGTCCTCCAAAGGCTGGCGTAGAAGTAGTAACCTCCAGGAGTAATCTCATTGAAGCTGAAAAACGTTGAAGTCAGCCACCTTTATGCTGTGACATTTCATTTTTTCCATCTCAGGTAACTTACAAGACTGATTTTCCATTGCCCGAGAAGCCACCGACTAGCTGGCCGGAGTATTTTGATCCAGTGTTGTAATCGGTCAAGGTGATGGTTTGGGAGGCTGGGCCCTCGCCGGTGACTTCGAGATTACCAGCAGCCATCTGGCCCCAGAAGGCAGCAGCAGGGCCAGCAAGGGCGGCGACAGCACCAAAGAGAGTAGCGACCTTCATTTTGAATCAAGGGACTATAAGAGGATTATGAGAGATTTGCTTGTAATGCTGTGATAGAAGTGATGAGTAGTTCGGGAAATGCTTGTGCAGATCTGATGGCCTTTTTATAATAGTCTAAGCATCAACATGCGTCGTACAAGCTTATTTCTATCTCTATTATCAAGGCACGCTATTGGATATACCGAGACTTCATGTTTACACTATATTATTACACTTACTATTCCTCTGAAGTACACAAACACTTCGCACCTTCTTTTTGAGTGAAAGCGCCTCTGCATTCCAGCCTTTAGTTTGGTAGCGTGTAAGATTTAAGCTGCTTGGATAGAGTCTCGAATCTAGAATTGTTAATTTGGAAGAATACAGAAAACTAAAGACTTTGCTCCATATAATTCTCTTCTCACCGCCTGACGTGAGTACTGGTAGCGATGTTAGCGAGGACGGGGAAACATAAGCAGATTGATATGTTTGGTGGAGAATTTCATATAACTATTGTCTTTCGCAGGGGTTGTTGTAACCCACCTCGTAGAATCAAGTAATACAATTAACTAAACCAAACACCCAAATGATCCTTATTAACAGGTAAGCGACTTCGTGTACGAAGTGCCAATCATGAATACAGCATAGCCTCGCCAGTAGTGTGCTTGCTAATGTACATATTTCGGCCCTGAATATTATAAATCCATGACTCGCTGCTCGTTTCTTGTTTTTACACAAGGTCAATTGAGTGGTGTTGAGTCGGATAAACCGTAATTCTACCATTAATGCCTACCGCCCCCACCCTTTGTGAACCCATCTCCTAGGAGTTGCTAAGATGCAGTCAGCTATGGATGCATATAGCAATAGTTTCTATAAGTGGACATCAACATGTATGTTCAACAAAAGTGGTCGTAAGCTTATTTGGAGTAGCGTACCTAGTGGTCCTTTTGAGTTAGCTCGGAAAGACCACTGATGTGAGATATGGCTGAGAACAATGTTCTTGGGCAGAATAGTAGACTTGCAAGCAGGGGCACGACTATAAGGATACGGCGCATTTATAGGCTACCTAAAATTAGGCCGCGATACCGCATCCACCTATACATGTACATAGGTAGTTATCAGAACGCCCTACCTACCTCACCTTATTCGGTTCTCGGTACAACTCCCCATAGAAAGGTATTTGTTTAAAATGCCCTTATTACCCTTATTTACGCCGCTGCTTTGCAAACTGCTTGACTGCACTAGCTGCTGTTCTATGGCGATTGTAAACAGGAAGCTTTAACACGTGAAAAAGTTATCCAACACCCTCGGCAAAGTCTAGCACGAGTGATGATGGAGGTGCGGCAGCTTCAGAAGCGGCGGTAGTAGCGACAGCTTCTTTGACTCCCTTCGTCGCTGGTGAGGTCTAGGCCTCGAAGATGCGGGTATTGGCTGTTTTGCTTCCTTTGGAGGGGCCGCCGGTCCGTCTCAAAGTCATTATCACTGCCGCTGTCGTCTCTCCTTTGATCTTCTTCACCTTCTTCTTCTCCGTAATCGCCATTGGTGTTCTAACGGCGGCTACCTTGAAGAGGCTGCGACGGCTTTGAAGCTGGCAGCTTTCGCCGATTCCGTTATCCAGCACTCCAGCTATAGCATGCGCTACCGCTGCTGCTGCTGCTGCTGCTGCTGCTGGCGGTACTGATGCCCCTACTACTTCTAGATGTATGTAGTGATTTAACTAAATAATATATCTTATATCTAGTCTAAGTGGTGTATTTAGGTATAGCTAGAGTACTGTAATAGCTGTAATACAGCTGGTATGCCGGACGTGGGGCGGATCTACCGGTACTCTGGCACCTAACCCAGCTGAGCAACCCCACCAACGGCTGCAGCAGCGCTAAGAATTTCCTGCAACCTTCCAATCTTTCCACCATCTCGAAAAAACGATTTCACCTGTGCTCATACCAGTCGCAAAGCTCAACAATCTCGACACTGAACTCATTGACCTCATTGACCTCCATTCTTACATCGCCAGCAATATCATCAATCCAACCATCACGCGAATCAACCAACCACGCCTCTCCCCTGCCCGTAATGCCCTGCTAGGCAACGACGAAAAAAACACCAAACCAATCCACCATTTTGCTTCTCCCACAATGCTCTACGACCTCAACATCGCCTGGTCCCCGGCCACAACCACAGAGCGCCTCCTCCAAACGCTCACAACCGCCTCCTCTCTCGGCTACGCCACCGTCGCCCTCAACCACACTCTCGAGCTGCCCTTTCCCGCGAATCCCACAACGCCGTTCCCATCTCTGCCGGCCTCTTCTTCCGACTCCAAGCTCCCACACGTCCTCCACCGCGCTACTCTCCCTCTCGCCGATCCAGCCGCCTCAAACTACCGCCTCCCATCTTTAGTCAGCGTCTACGACCTCCTCGCAATCCGGCCCCTCACCGAAAAGGCCTTTCAGAATGCCTGCCTCACTCTCGACATTCCCATCATCTCGCTGGACATGGCGCAACATTTTCCTTTCTACTTTCGCCCCAAACCCTGCATGGCCGCCGTATCGAGGGGCGTGCGCTTCGAGATATGCTATTCCCAGGCCTTGGCTGCCGATCCGAGGGGACGCGCAAACTTCATCTCCAATGCGACCAACCTCATCAGAGCTACACGAGGGCGAGGCATAATAATAAGCAGCGAGGCTAAGAACGCTTTTGGTCTGAGAGCCCCCGCCGATGTGGTCAACTTGTTCAATGTATGGGGTCTTCAGAGTGAAAAAGCCATGGAGGGACTGAGGACAATACCGCGGAGCGTGGTGGTCAACGAGGGAATGAAGAGGGATGGTTTCAGAGGAGTCATCAACATCGTTCAGGTGGTGAAGAAGAATCTGGTTGAAGGCGACCAGACGGATGACCAGTCCTCAGCGACAGACCAACCCGGCAAGAAGAAGAACCAGAAACGAAAGAATGGTGGGGAAGATGGACAACCTATCAGCAGGCGAGAGGCAAAGAAGATGAAACTGGCAGCAAGAGCAGCAGCATCGGACAAAAAGTGATTCGGCAATATACATTTGTGTGCAGAGGTTGGGCCTTGGGCTCTGGAGGTGTCTACAAAAATACGGTGTAACGGAGGCGCGGGAAGCAGCATTGACGGTTTCAAAAGCATGATACCCCCTAAGATAGACTAGAAACAACGTCTTCGATTTTTTTTTTTTTTTGTTTTTGTTCTTTGCTTTACTAGAGCAAAAAGACTAAATGAATGGTATATATACGAACACACGCAAGCATACGTGGCCTTTAGCAAACTGTGACTAACAACTGGTATCTCAAAATCTCTCTAAACTATTAAAATCCCCTATTCCTCCGAGCTACATACACTACACATCTATTCTCTATTCACTGAAGCTCATGATTCAATGATAATAGAAGGAGCTGCGGCGGCCGCTGCTGTGAGCGTAGGCGCCGCCGGAATGGCAACCAAAGCGCCCAAATTCAGCACACTATTCAGCTCATAGCCCTTAAGATCCGGCGCCGGAGCTGAGAAGATAGCGGGAGCGGTTGCCGCCGGGGGAGGGGGGAGGGGAGCTGGTTCTCCGTCTGGCAGTGGGACACTGGAAGCAAGGCTACCAAGGACGAGAGTGTTGACGGGCGCAGAGGGAGCAACAGAAGCGGGTGAATCAACGGGAGTAGCTGAGCTTGCGGGAGCAACTGTACTTGCAGGAGCAGCTGTGGTTGCAGCGGGAGCGGTCGTAGCAGGAGCGGTCGTAGCAGGAGCACTCGAAGCAGGGGCTGAAGTTGTAGCCGATGATGTCGTCGATGATGTCGTCGATGATGTCGTCGAAGCAACGCTTGTGGAAACGCTGGTAGTGGTGGCTGCAGGAGGCTTAATAAGAGACGTGGAAACCTCAACAGGAGCCGCCGCAGAAGATGAGACACTTGAGGAAGCAGAGGATGAGCTTTGAGACGTCACTGCAGCCGAAGAGGTTGATGCTGCTGGAGCTGTAGTAGCTACTGCAGGGAGCGTGCTGAAAATCGGCGAAGGCGGCAGATTTGAGGTCGCGATACTCGTGGAAGCTGGAGGCGGAGGAGGCGGCGGAGGCACAGCTGAAGTTGCCGGAGGCGGAGGCGGGGGTGCCGTAGAGTTTACTGCTGGAGGAGGAGGAGGAGGTGGTGGCGGAGGAGGAGGAGCAGCGCTGGCAGGAGGAGCTGGAGGAGCACTGACTGCCGGAGGCGGCGGCGGAGCAGAAGACACCGGTGGTGGTACTGCCGGAGGAACACTGACAGCCGGAGGGGCACTCACGGCCGGAGGAGCGCTGACAGCAGGCGGAGGGGGAGGAGGCGCTGCCGGAGGAGGCTGCGATGCCGCCGGTGGAGGAGGCGCTATTTCGAATGTCAGATTCAGGGGTCTCAAAGTCATCGCCGTTGACCAAGCATTCAAGCTACTGACCTATTGAAAACGTCGTCTTCGGTAACAGGGACGATGCAATTGGAATCGTAGTGACGCCAACTCCGTTTCCATTAGGATTGACCGTTGGGGCGGCTGCTGGAGGGGCTGCTGGAGGGGCTGCTGGAGGAGCTGAGGGCGCAACTGGTCCAACTGTTGCGACTGGGTTTCCAATCACTTGAGTAGCTCCAGGAATGACAGTGGTAGTAATAGTAGTGATCACAACGGAGTCATCTCCGCTCCCTCCGCTTCCCAAACCTGGCAGGCCGAGAAGTTGTCCCAGCTGATCCAATAAGCTGTCCCGGCGAACCAGATTGCCATTTCTATCACGATTCAACGCAGCACCCTAAACATCATCAGTTACTGAAATCTTCGAGACCCCCCTTTTCTGACCGTAAACATACCTGAACTGCAGTCGAGGCAAGCAGGGCGTAAAGAACTGTCGACCTCATTGTAAAGATTTTCTACGCAGCCGAGATGTAACGGAGGCACGCGTAGCGTTTTTTTTTTTTTTTTTCCTTTTCTTTTTCTAGATTTTCTGAACAAAAGGTACCGAAAGAGACCACAAACAACGACAATCGCAATGCTGCTGTTTCCACAATTCCAAACTGCAAAAAGGTTTCGGCGATGAAGAATTAAGATATTATTATCAGCCAGCTGGATATCGAAATAAATCAATGACCGATGCCGTATTAATCGCAGTCGAAGCGGGAGAAGCAAAAATTAAAGAGCGAACGGCAACGGTTGAACAAAGGCGGCGCCAGGCCTGTAAAATCCCAAGAGCGGGTGAAGATAAGATCGCCACCGACCAAATGGACGACGGTTCAAAAACAAGAGAAGAGAATTGAAAATAAGGACAACGCACGAGAAAACCGGTCCCGTGAAAAGAAGAAGAGTAAAAGGGAAGAAAGAGCCTGTCGGAGAGTAACCCCGGCTGTCGTCAGCTCCAGCTCTCCCAGAAACGACGTGGCTCCCTTCAATCCTTGGGCCGTTTCGACCCTTCATCACATTGTTTGAAGCATTGCCAAGACCGCATTTGACTAGATTCGAATACGGAGCTCAAACAATAGCGGTGCGGCGGCTGTGATTTAGACTCAATTCGCGTTACTCCATGCGGTCCAGGCCAGGATCTGAGACATGGTTCAGACACCTCCTGTCTGGGACGGGGCTTGCGATAGCGGGGCTTGACAAGGAAATTATCGAAAGCCGCTCGTTTAACTTGGTACTGGGCATTTTCCGACTTTTTCAATGGTCGAACTCGACATGGTTGTAGACCACGGCTTGTGGGATCTGGTGATTTTAATTTCGAGTAGATTGCATTTCATGGGTGAGTAACCTTGTTCATCATGCGATGCGGGAGCCGAGCAGAGCAAAGACGCGCCCAAGGGATGTGGGGTTGTCGGTATTTGCCAGCAACGGCGCCTAAAAGTTATCAGATCTGATTTCACGATGGTTGCTTCACTTCACATCATCAGAAAAACGTGATTGGCGTCAGTTAGTGGGTTGAATGATGGTTATTGAGGCGAGGCTGCTGAACCTGCGCGGGCGCTTGCACGTTTTGTTGTCTGGTTGGCCACTGTCGAATGAGGACGGCGCCGTGATGCATGACGAGGCAATCTAAAACAAAATTGTCACATGGCTTTGACAACGGGGGATGGTGAGGAAGAATAAGTTGAAGAATAGAATTCTGATGTAGATTCCGATTAGAAGTTGCATATCGGAAAGGGATTTATTTGATGCCGACTTTTTTGTTCTTCCAATCTGGAGCTGTTACATCAAGAGCTGGGCAGCCGCACCTTCCAAGAATTGACGGGCATCTTATTTGGAGTACCATTTGGGGTACCGCCAAAAAGAGACATGTACCACATGCAATTTTGGCTGCTTTCGTAGCACCACATGCAGCGCTAGAGACAAGCCACCAGCTTCCAATTACGTTCTTTCGATGCCCGGAGGACGGTCCATCTCGCACCCATCGAGAAGGAGCCAAGCCAATGACGACTTGATTTTTGCTGCAGATGCCCAAGCGGCGTATATAGCAAGCATCATATTTTGTTTCTCAGCCGCGCGTGAATTCTAGAGATTTAAATTCACATTAGCGATTTTTATAGCGTTCTTGCAATAGCACGATTGACAAAACTTGGATGAAATGGCAGCTCATGTGCTGGACGACTACTATCTCGGAATAACTGCCATCATCACCGTGGGCTACCAGCTCTTCTTCTTCGCCATTGCTTATACCTGCAAATTCGATAAGTTAACTGGTAAGTCCTTTTTATTCGACGGATAGCTATCCAGCACCATTATCCAGCACTTCAGTTATAGCATTGATGGGCTACTGCTGCTGCTATATCTGCTATCATTGTTACTGCTGCTACCATTGTTACTGCTGCTACTACTGTTACTACTGTTACTACTGTTACTACTGTTACTACTGTTACTACTGTTACTACTGTTACTACTGTTACTACTGTTACTACTGTTACTACTGTTACTACTGTTACTACTGTTACTACTGTTACTACTGTTACTACTGTTACTACTGTTACTACTGTTACTACTGTTACTACTGTTACTACTGTTACTACTGTTACTACTGTTACTACTGTTACTACTGTTACTACTGTTACTACCACCACTACTACTAGTACTACTACTATGGCAGCTATATACTTTGATATTCTTTCTCTTAGTAGTTTACTATTCTTTTGAGGGCTAACGCAAAATTCTGCAGACTTCGCCGGAGGCACTAACTTCATTGTCCTCGCTGTTGTCACCGTCTCACTCAGTCACCCCCATAATGGCCGCCAACTCGTAGTCACGCTCTTTCTCATCGCCTGGGCCATCCGCCTCACATCTTTCCTCTTCTTCCGTATCCTAAAAACAGGCAAAGATGACCGCTTTGATGAAATGCGCCAAAAGTTCTTCCCCTTCCTTGGTTTCTGGATCCTTCAAATGCTCTGGGTCTGGACGGTTTCACTGCCGGTGACGGTGCTGAATTCGCCCGCTGTGACTCGATATCCGCAGCATAGCTTTGGAACAGGGAGAGACATTGCAGGCATTGTGTTGTATTCTATCGGTCTGGCGATCGAAGCCGTTAGCGATGCACAAAAGTACCGATTCCGGAGCAAGCACGATAACAAAGCTGTTTGTGATAAAGGCTTGTTCGCTGTATCACGGCACCCCAACTACTTTGGCGAGATCATTGTTCACTTTGGTAAGATGGCGTCTTGTCTTTTAACTTCTCACTAGTAGTGAAAAAAGGCAATAGCTGACTTAACCCAGCCATATACATGATCGCCGTCTCACCGGCTGCTAATGGCTTCGTTCGCGGCCAAGCCTTCAAGGCTCTCTATGCCACCATTCTGGGCCCTTTTTTTCTCACCTTCCTACTACTTTTTGTATCGGGAATTTCTCTTGCAGAGCGACCCAAAGCGAAGTCTCGCTATGAAAAAGGCAACAATTGGCAAGGCTACAAACGCTGGCTAGACCGAACCAGCGTCCTCATTCCGTTTCCTCCGCAATTGTATGAGAAGATGCCGACGATTTTGAAGAGGACCGTGTTTCTCGAGTTCCCCATGTATGTATTTGATCCGAAGAAGCACTCCAGTGCTCCTCAGCCTGGGAGAACAGTGAACGAGGATGGAGGTGAACCGGCAGAAAGGTATCGAGACGATAGTCCACAGAGCGGTGAAGAGCAATCGGTAGAGTAGTAGCCCACAATGTAAATGAAAAGTTTGAAACAAAAAAAACCCACTCTTGGTATATATATGTATATGCTTGTTCTATTCGCCCGCACCACAATTTCCAGCACCCGTGCACTCGACATTATCTCGATTTCATATGAAAAGCTTTCTCGTCCCTTAGACTGCGGTATAGAAAGACAGAAAAGTAAAAATAGACAAAAGGAAGTAAGCAAGTAAATAGAGTGACGAGAGCTAATCTAACAGCTCTTGGGTCTGGCCAAATTCGGCGCTGCTCGATCGCTCCGAGTAGGACTCTGTTCCCTCTGGAATAGGCACCATGGCACTTTTAGTCCAGATGTGGATGGCTTTTGACCAATCTAGACCCTCGATGCAGCCGCCCTTGACAGAGAGAACATTTTGTGACTTGATACAGAAAGGATTCGATAAGAGAAGTTAGCCATTTGAGTCCCGCGATGCAATGGTGGTAAGACAGATGACGATGAAGAGGAAGCAGTGGTGATGCGGGTCAAGAAGACAAACCTGTGCCAGGTGAATGAGTCGCGTTCCGCAAAGGCGGCAGAAATAGCTGTACAAACGGCTTGTTATCAGCTGATGATTTCACAAAAAGTATTGGGATATAATGTCGGGTTCATACCAGTAAAGCGTCTCCCCTGAAGCAGTTGGCCGTCTAAAATTGAAACACCGTTAGCATCAAGACATTACTTTTGGTCCATCATTCACACCTCAACCAAACGAAACAAACCATTTCTTTCTGGTTCAAGGAAATAGATATATCAATTGACATACGCATAGCAATTCAAGCTCTCCGTCTCGGGAAGCTTGAATCGCGGGAAAATGGCCGACGTCCCAAACGCCGAACCCGTCTGTTTCTTGCACTCGGAGCAATGGCAGATATACAGCGCGAGGGGCTCCGGCAGCGGCGTCTTGAACGAGACGGCGCCGCATTGACACCGCGCGTCCATGGCGAGATTCTTTTGTTGGCAAATGTTATATGTTCTTCTTCTTCTTCTTTCGCTTTCTGTTGCTGTTGCGACAGAAGGATTGAGTCGTCGAAGTCGTTTATACTTGTGGTAAGTCTTGAATATGTCAAACCGGGCAAGGCCGGAAATTGAATGGAATCGAAAGCCGAGCTCCCAGGAATAGAGAAGAAAAAAATGATAACCAGAATGTTTTTTGTAAAATTTCTATTCGATTTAAATCGTGTTTTTGGCTCAACCTTTATAAGAACTGCTGTCAGAAGGTGTAAAGTTAGAGTTGATTGAAAGTCCAGCGACGTCGGAAGACCTAAAGCAGCTTGCATGTGCCCAGCATTAGGCTACATGTCTGTAAATGATCGGATGTAGTAAGCAAGGCTTCTTCTCCTCTAACGTTAGTCGGCAGCAGCCGATAGCTTCAAAGCCGATTTGGTTGCTGCTATGAACTAGGGCCCCAAAAACTCCGAATAAGAGTCACTTCAAACTGGTTTAATCGTCGAATCGCGTGCCAAAACAAGCTTAATTGGCCAGGGAGCAACGCCGGTCTTCGCATCCACCGTCTCGTCTTCAGCTCTTCGCTGCGTCACTTACGAGATGCTAAGCTCCATTAGTTGACTCCATCGCCTTTTGCTTCCACATATGGAATGCGAACTATACGAATTAGCCTTGCCGCTTCCTTAGCAGGGCCCGCAACCACGCCTTCGGCCAGCTGTCTCGGGAGAGATATACCGTATGCTTGACGCCAGCAAAAGACCCTGTTTTAGTTTCTTTTTTCCCTTGGCTAGTTTCATATTCTCTCTATCGGTTTCGCTCATCATATAGCTATTATTCTTCTGCGTCGTGATTCATACCGTGGACGCCTCAGTTACATAAGAAATAGATACGCCCTTCAAAGGACATGTAGGTATAAGTGGGGTCTGGACGATCAACATAGGCATCATGCAATAAGTATGCCACATACATAAGACGCATGCCGTACTGCCTTTGAGCTTTGAAGATTTCACTATCTGCCGTCGACGATTAATAATACATATTATTCAGCCACCTCTCTTCCCATCCCACACCATATGTGTATGCTCGTACTACCTCTATGCCCTCAATAGCGGTTACTTGCGGCAAGCCATGGTATAGGAGACAATAAAATAGCCCATGTAAAAGACCTGCATTTAATTCACCGTAACTGGAAACTGCAACACTTAGAATTTCCTCCGACCATCGGTCCGCTTCTCCTTTCCGTGCCTCATGCGTATAATATAGTTACGGACCGCGTAGCCACGGGCAAAGCAAGCAAAGACTCGGGCTTTGTAACAAAATACAAGCAACCGGTGCGGCGATTACAGTTGTGTTTTAAAACATGTAGACCATGTTTTAAGGTAACGCTCTGATGTAACGTGCTCTCCGAGATATAGGCATGTCTTAACTCCCGTGGAATAGTTGTGAAATAACTAAGAACTGAAGAAGACAACAAAGAGAGTGCAAATACTAGTAATAGATGGATAAAGGGAAAGAACTGAATCAAAGAAAGAGAACTGATAAGGAAACTTTTGTTTCAAAGAGTGCAAGTCGCGTATGATTACTGTTCAACTTATTCAAGATTGAAGAAATAATCCATGTTCGGAATATATAAGGATGTCCATGTCGGTTCGGAATAAACAGCCACTATCTGCGATTGAAGCCAAGGCGGAGAGTGCGGTAGAACTAGCTCTACTACTACCTACGGAGCGGATTCAGAACATGACTCAGCAGAGCAAGAGGTGCGCTCGCGATTTCATATCGCTATGTGTGTTGACAAGTAAAATCTACAGCAAAATGCGGGATAGCGAAATTGCACTTCGTATAACGTATTCAAGAGAATACTACCAGATCTTTTTGAATATTACTTCCCAACTCACTTGAGCGAATCTGTTTGTCGCAGCGATGTACTTTGTGTGTGTGTGTGTCATGCTATATTCACGGTAGCGAATAGCTGCCTATGTAAGTAGGCTACGATACACAAAAATGTGCAATAAGACTTTTCCAGACTACGTTGTGGGTACTAATATTAAATTGAAAAGATTGCTAATCTGTCGTCGACTACATTGACTACTTTGAATTTTGAGCATTCTCCTGCTTGCCATAAAACGCCTGCTCGCCACCGAGTTCATTCAGCTCCCGCTTAGAGCGCTCCTTGGACTCATCGCTGGTATCTGCACTCACTTTAGTATCTACGTCTGGCTGAATTTATGGCAAGAACGCACTTGGGTTGGACAGATTTGCTTTATGGCCGCGCGCCTTGTTGCTGATATCCTCTGGATGCTCATGCATGCCCTCAAGGGCAGCATCCTTAGGGATATCGCGGGCTTGGTGAGACATTCTCAGGTTGCTGTAGCTTTTGTAAAGAGGTCAAAAATTGATAGTTATTTGTAGATGCTATTGCGTGGTTGTGAAAACGATGAAATGTTCACAGTTGGTTCATACGGACATATATAGTCCGTAGGCAGGTCCATGACGAAGGTTTGACGAAACGTCATATATTATTTACGCTTCATGCGCTTAAGGCCGCGATTACATCAGAGACATATTTCTATGACACTAAACTGCATAAAAACCAGCAAAGTATAGAGACGGAGGTTAGAGCTGAAGATGTGGCGGAGCGTGAAAACAAAATAAGTAAATCTGAGTGCAAGTTCAATTGAAGCATAGGAATAATTGCACCTCTAAGAACTCTTGCAAGAGAGAACTTGAGGGATTAGAGACCAAGATAAATCTTGATATACTATTCGGGCGATAAAGGGGTTTACGAGTTGCGTAAATTCGCTTAGCCGCCTGCTTATACTAGCAATAGCCAACAACTGTCCCCGTGCATCATGGTAAGAAGCACAAGAGCCGATCATAGGCTTCTACCTGCGGGACAGTGAGCGGTATATGAAGCTGAACTTAGAAACTGTACCTGGTTTATCCATTGCTCCGAATTCCTTTCCTTGGTAACTTAGGTAGCCACTTAAACTTCTAAGCATTTGACAGAACTTAGAATTTGAACCCCAATTGCTGCACAAGAGGTGGTGCCTTCCTTTGACGGGGATTGTACTTACAAGCTAGATCTTCTCTAAGCGTCATTGATTGGCAGATATAATAGCGGAGAGGAAAAGCTTACCGAAAACAAAGTTTTGTTTTCTCCAGCCACTAATGCTAACGAGCGTAATAGTGACTGTGAAATGTGCCCGGTATGACACTTAGATGCGGCTGTGTAAAGTATCTGAAACGTAACATCTAAGAAGAATGGCGTGAGTTTATTGACGCTCATATGCTTGTATTAGGGCGTTTTAAGAATATATATAGGCCGCCCCGTCTCAAGAAGATACACGTTCAGTGCATAGAATCTAAAAAAACTACCCGGAAGTAGTAAATCAACCGGCATCAAGATCTACAGTACCCAAGAATTGCCCGCGATGGCAGACAACACCAACCCCGGAAACTTTGCCAACAGGTCGGTTGTCATGTAGATCAGTGTTTAGATGTTCACTAACAAGAAACCTTCAGGCCCAAGGAGGAGGTTCAAAATATTGCCTCGAAAGGAGGTCAAGCTTCGAGCGGCTCTTTTGAACCGGGCAGCGCAAAGGCAAGTGAGGCAGGCAAGAAAGGCGGTCAGAAGTCAAGTGGTTCCTTTGAGCCAGGCAGCGACAAGGCCAGAGAAGCAGGCCAGAAAGGTGGCTCCAGATAGATCATAATCCCTATTAGGTCATCTCAATATACATAGAGCTCAAAACATGATAGTGTCTTCTCATTTTTTCCGTAATATTCTCGTTCTTTCCTCATCCTTCTCAATCCCATCGTCAGTCATCTTTCGTTTTAGCTCACCATTCATTAGCCATGCAATTTGCTTTTCTTACAAGTAATCGTCCGAGCTCGGTTCAACCAAGCCGAGTCTTGCTTCAAGTAAGGCCTCGAATCACCCCTACTGTATTTTTCAATTCCCCTCATCCATTTCCTATATATCACAAGTACTTATGCACCTTATGCTACTACAAAGCACACTAGCAAGAATTTAATTACTAATGAATAGGAGTGCAGTGAGCAAACACATGCAACAACTAATAACAACTGCATGCACCGATCAACAGTAAACACTAGTAAAGACAAGAAGAGAAAAAAGATATACCCTAAATACTAATCACTAGATATCCCGGCTCTGGAAAGCGAACATATTATTCGCTTGTGGCATTTCTTTCAACCCTTCACACCAACCAAAACAAAGCCATACTAGCACCATAAATCTTCATCGTCAACGAATCAATGACACTACAAATTCATTTTCCCAATCAACTGGTCGCAGACAAAGCAATCGTTTGCCAGTGGCATCGCGAAAGCTGGGAAGCTAGATGATAGAATTGGAGAGCTGGAAAACTTTTTCCTACGACAAATCTTGGTAAATTGTTTAGGGTGCAGTTTGAGGCGGAAGCTGTGCTGCGCAACAGCTGCCAGAATGGCTGTCACTCGCAGGGTCACTCTGCATTCACGTCTTGATCAGGTTTTGTTAACTTGAGTAGGTATCGAGGTAGTTTGAGATCAGCTTGGTGACTCTTTTTGATACTGTAACAGTTGTGACTTGTCTTCTGGCTCTATCTTTCTCTCTTTTGTTTAAACACCATTCTGCCATCATCTCAAGAATCTCTCCGCCCCACGACATGCATCTGCAGAAATGTCTACTCGTGCAATAGAATCGCGCATTGCGCCTCCCAATTTGACGATTGCAGACATCGCCATACCTAAGAATGAGCACACATTTGGTACTTTCGACCAAAACTCCTCGAGTTACGAAGATGCGCTGGCCTGCCTTCGAATGTATCGCAAGCAGGTAACGCAACTGAACTACGATGAACGGCGTGAGATCGTACATATTATCACAGGGGGTCACTTTTTCAGAACGAGAACCGCGATGAAATCGCCAATGTGCCATAAGTTCTACCGTTACGCCCGCGCCAGCGAATTTGCCGCAGAGCATCTATCTTGGCCTGAATATATCATCATGCGCGCTCTTTATGAAGATGACTTACCATCTCCATATGTTAGCCAAATCAAGCAAACATTCGGAACAGCGGCCATTGAAGATTTCTCTTACCAGTTCTTCGAATACTTTCCAGAAATGAATGACAGTATTGCTAAGCCTATGATCCCAACACTGGAGGCCAATATCCACCCAAGACGTATTTCACTGAATAGCCGCGAGGCGAGTGCTGACGACAACCTCTGGCCCGCTCCAAAACGCAAAAAGATATATTCGAAGCATGAGATTCCAGATACACCGAGTACTGTTCAAAAGACACTAATGGCTATCCCCGTGAGTCGAGCGGCGAAGAATTCAGGAAAGAAGGACTCGATTCGTCGAGAAAAAGCAACCAAGCAGCGAGCGTCTACCCCTACTGCGTCTAACGCTGCTGCACCTGAAGTAACACCATATATCGATCTGGCTGCACGCGATATACTAGATCGACTGCCCTCCAAAACATCTGGGGAAGGCTCCAAAAGGATCGATAAGGCTTCCTGGGATCGTTTGCAGTACCTCTTGAGCATCGTAAGAGAGACGACAATACGAAACAATATCCGCCTCAAAGCCCTTGAAGAGAGCCAGAGGGACCTTGAATCTAAGCTCGGCGCGATGACCAGCGCCTTTGACACAATGAATACCACCATCAAGACAATCGTTACAGAGGCCAGGGCTGACCGAGAGGGGTACAATCACGTTTTAAGCAGTATCAAGGATATTATGATGGGAATGGCGGATTCGATCAAAGACATCAAGGAACAGCTGTAGATGGAAATTGTTGAGGACGTCAGCACCTTGGGGCAAATGTTGGAGGCATTTCGACTGCCGCCGATTTGACATCGATTTGTTACCTGTGTGTTGACTGAAAGGGCCTGATGGAATGTCACATCTCCATATATACACATGTACAACAGAGTATGGGCATGTTGTGCAAATATCATGCCCTAGGTGGCTACAAAATAAGAGATTCACTTTATTTCACTTTGTCTTCTCGTGTACGCATTACGAGGTGCCATAAAAGATACCATCATCATAGTATTGTAATAGCAATAAACGCCAATAACCGTTATGAAACCAGCCAAAATTGAAATGCCATCCCACTCAATCACGCCAAAATCACATCATCCAGGTATAACCAACCGACTTAGACGATCCTCGCCATACTCACAACCTCCGCCCTCGATCCCAACTCTCTCAACGCCTCCTCAACCTTTACACACCACGCCATCTTCTCCGCCGTCCCCCACGCATTCTTGATAATCTCAATCTCCAGCCTCTCCAGATTCTTCATCTCGGCCAACTTGCCCTCCTCAACCCACCTCCTCGCCCCGCCCTCCTCCTCTAGCCCATCGATAAACTTGTCCTCCGCCTCCTGCGCAGTCTCAGTGTGTTTCCGCCCAACCTGTCCCACAATCTTCAGTCTCAGACCTCGAAGACCATGAGTCCACGAGGCCAGACGCTCGTCAGGACCACCGCATAAATTCGCCCACTTCTTCAACGCGCCTGTCCTCGCGAGATCTTCGGCCATGACTTCCATCCGCACGTATCGCATCGATAGACGCTGCCACGACCGCTGCGACTTTGTGACTGCCGACGCGGCGTTGAGGCCCGACGAGAACCAGTTGAGGAAGACAAACTCGTTGTTCTCAAAGGGCATGGTTCGCGATTCAAAGTATATCTGGCGACAGGAGCACAGCAGACCCGTCGGCATGCCCGCGAGAGGCCTGTCCGAGCTGAGCAGGCCCTTCATCCGCTTGTTCAATTCTCTCATCTTGTCCTTGATCCTCTCCTTTGTCAATCTCTCCGCGGCAATCGCCCTCTGCAGCTCATTCTGCTCCCGCACCGCCGGCGTCTGTTCCTCTTCTTCACGAGCGCCAGTATCGTCCGCGTCGTCTTTGCCCGTTGCGAGATCCACAATCACCCTCTCGTTCTCAATCTCCTGCTCGACCTGCCTCTCGAGATTGGGATCCAGCGGATGCAAGATGTAGCGGCACAGCATGGGGATGGGATACCCCGCCGCCAGCTCCTTGGGCTGGATGGGACTCATCAAATAGGCCCAGTAGTAGATCCTCAGCCTGACTTCTGGCGGCAGGGAGAGCAGCGGCGAGGCCATTGGCTCTGCTGAAGCCGTTGCCGCTGTTGGAGCTATGCTATTACTGCTGCCGGCGACATTGTCTGCAATGTCTTTGGCTTCTGCTGAAGCGTCACCATTAGTGCCGTCCTCGTCCTTGGGCCCCCAATGCTTGTAGTAGCACACCGCAGGCGGGTACCAAAACATGAATGGGCAGTATTCATACTCGGCCCCTGCCATGGCTAGGTGTAATGCATGAGTATCTCGAATGTCTAAATCCATTATGCTTGCAAAAAGTGAAGAATGAAATGAATTGGGTCAAAAATAAGAAAAGCGAATTGATTGGAGTAGATTGTATAAGAATAGAGTGAGAAAGATTCACACAGCACGGGGAGAAGTTGGCATCAAACGAGACGCCATCTTGATGCCCTTATGAGAAGGGAGAGACTCTTTATAACAGTAAAGAAACCCCTTGCTTCCACATCACATGCACTCCTGTCTCGAAGCCAATTTGAACGAGGGTCGGAAAAGCAACATACCAAAGTGGGCATAACAACATGGAATCACTGTGAGCACTAGATTCATGTCAGATACGCCGTCTTATACGCCATCTTCTATCACAGAAAAAGCTCCCCCCTCCCCACCGACTCGACATCGCTGTGGCGGCTTACTAGAGGGCCTATTTTGTGACAATAGCAGTTGGAAAGTCTATATATGTGCATGTCACTCAAGCGTCGGAAAGAATAATAATCGATGAGACGGGATGGAACGGAGGGTTTGGAAGAGGAAAAGCAATCAACAAACAAATCCGCCCTCCGAATTCTCCAACACATATTGGAATGGACGCCTAAAAAGGGTTTCGGGTATCGACCCAATTGTTCGATCGCGATGCGGGGAAACGTCACCATTACATACTAAGAGGCTTTTGCCGAGCCCAGTGATGATCGAGTTCTCACATGCCCAGACGCGACGGCTTCCGATACCAATAGGATTCGGTCCAGACAGCCTAATAGCTGACAAGTTTCACATTCCCTTACATAAGTGCCCAAGATAGAGGCCCAATGTTTCAGAGCTCCAGCGAATAGCTTGTGCAGCTCCAATGCCTTTCAAGCACAGCGCGCGCAAGTATAAGACTAATGGTCATAAAATAGATTAAAGTATATGCATCAACCTTCCTTCGGTGTGTTTATCGCTGTATCGCTGTCACCCAATTGGCCGAATTGCTGCTCCATTGGGCAACCTCACCGCTGGGCTGGAGTTGCAATGGATACTCAAATTTAGATTGGCATTGGTCACCTACCCACCTACCTATGTAAGCTGTAGACGGCTAACCACTTCGAGTTAAAAAAAGCAACCTAGATATTGCAGCTTACTATCTACTAAGGGTGGTCTATGCCAAGCTTCAAGTTGTCAAGTGTAGTACCAACTGCCAAGATGCGGCATTGCTCACAGCCGCCGAGCCACATCATGCGCGACATTACTCGGAAAATGCAATTCTCATGCGTGACTATACCGAGCCTCTCCAATTCGTGCTTTCAAGCCTTGCAGTATCACATGCATAAGTGAGTAGCAACTCCATCACAGTAAGGCATCCTTGCAGCCCATAGCCGACAGGCAGTCGTTTTTATCCGATTCATCGTCGTTATTTCATCTCCTTCGGCTTGTCCGTTGATTCTCAGCTTGGAAGGGGGTATTTACAGCAGCATCCACATCTCTCTGTCTTTTTATCAGACAATTCAGACTAATCGTCCTCATTCTATGAGGACCCAGAGCCCGGTGGTATATTCACACCCTCATATCCTCTCTTCCCCCCAACTTTCCGCTCATATTCGACGTTCCGCGGCACATCGAAATCTCCCCGTGACGCAAACCACAAGAGCGTCTCTGGTTCCGGGCCTCGCGCCACCGTCGCTGATTTCGTGACTCCATCCATGACATCTTCGTTTTCATCGTCTTCGTCGTCCTCCTCTTCGTCCTCCTCTTCGTCGCTTTCCTCATCCAGGCCCTTCTTTAGTCCCGTACGAACATTTTCGATGCCCATCTCCCTCTCTTCCTTTGTGTAGACGTCCCCAGCCTCTTCCCTCACGTAACTGGCAATCCTGTCGTGTGTCCACTCGCGCAACTCGTCCCATATGCCTTGTAGCTCTGCGATGCCCTCGGGGGTAGCCAGGCGTGCCGTCTCTCGACCTTGCTCGACAAGCTCCTCCACGTCTGGCTCCAGCTTCTTACGCAGCAGCTGCGTCAAGACATTCTCTTGCGTCCGCCCGGGGTAATTGGTCGACGGGTGCACGGCAATTCGTGAAAAGAGCTCCGAGTTCTCGCTGAGGTTGTCTAGTACTGTTTGTAGATTGCGCTGGAGGATCTGGGCGGAGGCTTGTAATGAGGAGCTGCACGTAACCTTGCTGTTAGCTAGATGCGCTGAGAATGCCCAATGGCGTAGTTGTAGCAAGGCCTACGGGTGTGGAAGCGGATTGCTCTTGAGGATATCCATCTTCAGACTCTGTATGCTGCTCGAGAGCTGCGCCAGCCGAGCCAGCGTCTGCTCAACCGCCTTGAGCTCATCGTCGTCCAGCCCCAGCGTCGCCATCTTTTGCGCCCGCCACTGTCGTTGATCCTTTTCTTTTGCTTTTCTGTTCCGTATTCGGTTTGAGGATTGATAATCTTAGAAAGTAGAAGGATTGGAGAGCTTGGTAAATTAGTTAGAGCTCTAGTGGTTGGAGAATTGGGGAGTAGAGGAGAAAGTTGGAAAGAGTATGAAGTTTAAATTAACATTAGAAGTGACGTCGAGCTCGATTTTGCGCAATCGCAGACGCGGTCCCTTCAGTGGAGCAGGCGCTAGCAGACCCCTAAAGTCCCATTCGAATATAGCACCCGAGGTGGGGGTCAACTTCAAGAGGGTGGCATCGTATAAGTCAACACTGCTCTTTGCTTTAATGCCATGTCTTTTGTTTATTTATTCCAATTTATGCTCATATTGTTGTCATATATAAAGAGAACGCGCCCATCAAACTAGAAAATACTCCCTCGCTATGCCCCGCCAAGATAATATAACACCATTGCCCATAACCAAAACAATCAAGTCAAATCAGATCAGACCCAGTCTAATTCCATTTCCTCTCATGCCACGCAACAGCAAATGCCAAACAAGAAAAAGAAAAGCCATAACAGGCCAAAGGGGAAAATAAAAAGAGACGGTGGCTTTAGCCTCGAGTCGAATTGACCGTTGCCGAAATCTCATAGCCTTGCGAGTCCACAAAGGGGTACCTCGCGCGTCTCTCCAAATCATCCAGCGCCATGTGAGATCGAATATACCTGAGAACAAAAGGTTAGCAAAGCCTCTTTCACAAATCGTTTAACTCTCCAAAGCAGAAACTCACTTCTCTCGGCCATCATCATTCGGGTTGTGGTCCCAGCTCGTAAAAGTGCCAATCTTCAACGCATCCCACACCAGCCGTCTGCTTCGCTGAGACGTCAACACCTTCTCCGTGATGGCATCAAAGTCCCACTTCGCCTTGGCCTCGGCATCGAAGCTCAGGAACACAGCCCTGGCCTCCTTCTCGTCCTCCGTCTGCGGCTCAATCTTGGACGCGAACCGGGCCAGGTTGTCCAGCTCCAGGGGGTCCTTCTCGAGGTTGAACAGCTGAGGCTCGTCTGCCGGGCAGGTGATGTACTTCCAGGCCCCCCGTCGAATCATCATCATGGGGCGAACAGTCCCCTCGCCCGTGTACTCGGCGAAAACGGTATCACCACCCTCTTGACCCAGGAGATGCGGCATCATGCTGACGCCATCCATGGGCAGGTACGGCGCGGGCTTGGTGCCGATGATGTCGCAAATGGTGGGCAGCAGATCCAGCGTCGAGACGTTCTGGGTGACACGGTGAGGGGTAAACCACTTGGGATAGTGCACCAGCATGGGAACACGGACAGAGGACTCAAAGTAGCTCATCTTGTACCAGAGACCGCGCTCGCCCAGCATGTCGCCGTGGTCACCGCTGAAGATGACGATGGTGTTGTCCATCAACCCAGCGTCTTCGAGCGTCTCGAGCAGCTTGCCGATGCAGTCATCAACATAGCTTACTGAACCGTAATACGCCCGCTTTGCCCTCTTGATCTGCTCGTCGGTGAAGTCCAGGTCCCACAGATCACAGACTCTCAGCAGGCGCTGGCTGTGAGTATCGAGCTTCTCCTTGGAAATGCGCACCTTGGGCAGGGCAATGTCCACGTCTTCGTACCGGTTCCAGTACTTCTTGGTGATGGTATACGGGTCATGGGGGTGAGTGAGAGAAACGGTCAAGGCAAAGGGGCGCTTGTCTGCTCCCTCGCGGACGTGGTCCCAGAGATACTGGGTGCTTCGGTACATGACCTCCTCGTCATAGTCCAGCTGGTTGCTGCGTCCGCACGGTCCGGCCTGGAGAATGGAGCTGGCGTTGTGGTACCACTCGAGACGCGTGTCCGGCTCATCCCAGTTGACCACCCAGCCAAAGTCTCCGGGGTAGATGTCGCTGGTGAGACGCTGCTCATAGCCGTGAAGCTGGTCGCCCACAAAGTGCATCTTGCCGGCCAGGGCGGTGTGGTAGCCCTTGGAGCGCAGATAGTGAGCGTACGTGGGCACCTCCGAGTTGATCTGAGAAGCATTGTCGTACGCGCCAATTCTCATGGGCAAAAGGCCCGAGATCATGCTCATTCTCGAGGGCGCGCAGAGAGGTGAAGGGCAGTAGGCCGAGTCGAACTGGACGGCCGAAGCCGCCAGACGGTCCAGGTTGGGCGTCTTGATCTGAGAGTCTGGGTTGTACATTTTGAGCTGAGGAGCCGCCAGTTGGTCTGCCATGATGTATAGAATGTTTGGCTTTTGCTGCTCAGAGTTGGGGGCAGGAGGAGGCGCCGCAGAGCGCGGGAGGGTGTTGAGATCGGGAGCCATGGCGGGCAGAAAGGCGCGTCAAGCGGAGATTGAGAGTTGCTGATTTGTATCTTGTATATTTATTTCAATAGCTTTGAAGATCAAGTTTAAAACGTGATTCTCTGTCTTGTCCAAAAGGCCTCAAGAGAGACGAGACGGTGAGAGGTCACGAGAGCTGCGTGAGAGAGCGAGAAGAGGAAGACAGCAGATGAAACAAGATCGTGGCGTCTCTACAAAGACAATCATAAAAGAGGATTCAATAGAACAAAATCAATCATACAGTGTAGCAGCAACTACTCATTCATTCAATTCAGTAAAAGAGAGAAAAGAGAGGGGGGCTGTTCCAGCAGCAAAGCGTGTGCGTCTGCTCTCAGCCCATTATATAGGCCAGCTCCTCTGTGACACCGACTCTCCTTCCAGCCCCCCAACCACTCTCTACCATCTATCTATGTGGAGAACACAATAAGGGCGTCCGACTTCCGTTGCACCAAAATGGCATCATCGCGATGGGCACGCGAGCACGCAAGAGCTTGGATTGAGGAAACAGAAATATGCGATAAACAAGGTGCTGTGGGATGAGACTCTGTGCAACGGAAAACTAAATTGTCTAAACTGACACGAGCGGCTGTTGCAAAAAAACGCCCGCGAGATCCGTTCTACACACTGTATGCATCCTCACTTTGGTGCATAAATTTTGGTAGGATCTAGAAGAGAAAAAGAGAAAACACCCGCCCGACCCGTAGTTTTGCGTGGTGCGTGTTCTTCTCGTGTTAGCCACGTTATCACTTTAGCATGTGTCAGACACAAACCATCGATGAAAAGTACATAATATCGGCTAATAGTGAGCTGAGGACACAATAGACTTCCAATTCTCTCTCTTCGAGCCGTTTAGTGTGGTGGCAGCGCATCTGACGCAAGAAGCTCGAGACATGACAAAAGACAATCCCCGTGTAACTGTAACCCTCGACTCAGGCTGCTAGAATCCTTCGATCCCCTTCGTCAAAAAATCTTTTGTGCGGCTTCCAACAATAAGCGACGACCCGATACTAGATCCAAAGCCCATGCACCAGCCCAACGCTTATTCCAACGCAGCTTCCGGTCACATGGACCGTGATAACGCCCGAAAAGGGACTTACTGCGCTATCGCTTCCAACTACTGCCAGATAGAAGATAGCACCTAATACTGCGTACTACTAGCAGCAGCAAATCTCTCTAAACCCCTGCGCAAGCGCTCCAAGTTCAGGCAACAACCAAAAAGACCTCCCTCTTTCGCAAGTCGGGGGAAAAAGGAAAATAAAAAAAGACCCTGATTGGAATATTTCCCCCAAACTACTCGATTCGGCATCGCCCACGCTGTGGTTGGTCAACCCGCCTTTTCTTCCCCACGGGACATTCCAGATCCCCTTCTTTTTTTTTCTCACTACGACTTTCCCAAAAGCCCACTTCGATTGCGTGATCCAGACCACCGTAGGCGTGCGTGCAAGTCCGCCTGTTTGCACAAGTCAGAGGAGAGCACTGTATATGCTTCAACGGGGAGGGACTGTATAAGCTAATGGCTTCAATTGCTGCATGTGGGGAACATACGCCAGTAACTCCTTGGTAGTAGTATTAGCTGTAGGAAGTGAGTGAGTAATAGCCAAGTGGCGATACAGAATGCGGCTGACAAACTCTCTTTTCCTCTCTCTTGGCTTCTAGAGAGACTAGAGAGAAGAACAGGGCCCTGGATCCGGGAGATCGAAATAAACCCGCCTCATGCAACGCATATACCGAGTTACTAGTGTTGTCGATCGCCATGGCACAAGGAGGCGCACGCCTGGTCAGGAGTAGTTCAGATGACGACGACTGTTACTGTAGCTGTGGTAGAGCCGCGTATAGTTGAGTACAGTCGAGATACAGAACTCACCGCCAGCTATAGCTCCAGCACGGCATAGTCGGAGAGCGTAGATCAGTTCTAGCCACTTGAATCATGAACCCATCTCGCTAGCAGAGAGATAGTTATCACAATCTTTAGCAACCGTGATGGTCCGTCAGCTCTTACGGCGGCAGCAAATGATCTGCAAGACAGCCCAGACTAAAAGCTTAAGCTACAAGCTTGAGCTACTTCTATCTACTACTAACAGACAACTCAATTATACATACGCTCGACAAAACAAGTACGTGAATTCTTGTAATCATTTTCATATATTCAAACCCAGCGAGCCACTCCCTCAAGCCCTCCATCATCTCCAAAAGGCCGTGCCATCAGAACAAGGTAAAATACAGAGAAAAAAAGTATCCTACAACACAGAATCTACTATATATGTAAACTGATGACAACGATGACGATGATTATGGTCATGGTGATTATAACATCTTTCGCGCCCGTCCAGCCCGCCTGCTCGTCACATTCTTCCCAATTTGACTTCTGCCCTTCTACTCCTCCTCATTCCCCATGGCCCATAAGCTGCGTGTCAAGTGTAAGTTTCCTGTCATCACCTCAGCAACCTTATCAAAAAATGCAAATATCCCAACTCCGTCAAACACCATACATGTTCAATTTCGCCTCGCTCCGTATGATTCCTTTTATGCAAAATCACGCCATCCCTGACATCAACGGCTTCTCTTGCTCCGACTCGCTCTCATCCTTTTGGGCGGAGCCACATCACTGCGTCCGGTAGAATTTCCTGTAGATGAGATGCAGCAGTAGGTTCACATTGAGTTTGAGGGCACCCTCAAACAGCGTCATGAATTGGTGTGCTTCAAACTGTGCTTGAAGCATGTCTTCAATCGGAACTTGCGCAATGGCTCCGGGAATCTGGATATGGCTTCGCGTGCCTTCAATGGAAAACACGCCGACCTGGTCGCATGAGATTGTCACGTCGATCTTGTCCCATTCTCGGTCTGCAGTTCCAGTCCACGCAACTAAAACGCCTTTTTCTGACAATGCTCGTGCACTATATTTGTAGCTTCCGAATTTTGGCACCCGGCCACTGCGTTCAAGCTCTCGCTGGTGATTGTACTGCTTTGTAAAGGGCATAAGGAAACGCTTCCGTCTGTTCAAGTTCATTTGTTAGCTTATAGTTCTTCCAACAATGCTGTCTATAACAGGTACGTACCCTTTCTTGTTCTGGAGTGTCTTCATGGCTTGCTCAATATAGTCATCGTAGCTTTTACGCTGCTGTTCAAGATACTTTGCCTTATCGTTCAAGTTGCCAAGGGTCAGACGCACGCCATCTAGTTCTCGTTGTCTCTGAACTCGTCTACGGCTCTGGGTTCGGATATCACTAGCAATGGCGTTGAGGACGTCTTGGTACTGGTTCTGCTTTGAGATCCTTCCCATCTGCTCTAGGTGCATGATGTTCTCCAACGCCGTTCGCTTTAGGTCGTAGTAGGACATGGTGGTGATGTCAGCCATCTTAGCGTCTGAGTACGCCCCGCGGGAGGTGCTGTTTTGAGGAAATTCTTCTCGCAGCAGCGCCTCCCACTTGTCCTCATCTTCGGGGTTGATTGGCTTCACGAGGATTTCCAACAAGTTGGCGCCGGTTTGCACTCGAATGATGTACAAAACACATCGCTTCGTTTCCATAAACAAAGCTTTGATATCTGCCTCGGGGTCTTCAAGGTCGTGGACCCTGGGGGTCAGGAACATTTGGATATCTGCTGATCCTGCCGCACTCATTTCATTCTCGTTGCTCTTGGCACTACCCAGATCTTGCATGATTTCCCGCAGGACGTCGTCCCGAGTGGGTGACATGACCAGGAGCTCCGCAGCTACAAGATTATGAATGGCAAAGACATCCGACATTTTGACGTACAAGGTAGGCTTGTTTTTCGCGTACAAGTCGTTGAACTCATCAATATCAAATGTCCTCTCGGGGTCAGGCACCGCGATGAGATCATTGGCAATCTGATGCAGCCGTTCCATAGATTCACCGATAAAGGCATTCAGGGGCTGCAGGTAGATATTCTCGCCGCCAAATGGCCGACCAAGTGCAATTTGCCCTACCACCTTGGCCACTTCGCCCAGATTCCGCTTCTGAAGTGGGCTGAGCGACTTGTCAATCACGCCAAAGTTTTCAGGTGCAGTGACGGCGGGTTGGAGGTAGAATTTCCACAGCCAGTGAGACACCATTTGTAACAGGTTTTCTTGCGGCTCGTTGGAAAAGTGCTCGCACAATGCTCGAAACATCTCGCTACAGACAAAACGGAGGCCGTAAGGCATCTTATGCACTTGTTCTTCCAAGGCCAGGAACAGCTGATCGCAAATCTCTCGCAAGTCTCGCAAGTGATCGATGAAGAGGCGGCGCGTCTCAGGATCGCGAATGGCAACTTCACGTGGCACGTCTAATGGTCGATGGTCTGGTCTTCCCGTCCGAAGCTCCTCGTTATTGATTGCCGATCTGTATATTTGCATCGGGTCACTTTCCAGATCAAGAGCTGGGTCATCGATAATGTTGTCGCGAATCATAGGCCCCAGGAGAGATCGAAGATACTTGCGATCCCGCGGAGACCGTGTATAGTTGGCGAGCAGCTTGGTCCAGAAATAATGACCTCGGGAATACTCCACAGCACTTGACGCGCTCTCAACCTCCTCTCTTATTGCTCGAGCTATCAGCTTCAACAGGTAGTATTCCTCTCGTCGCTTCTGAGCATAGCCAAAGAGGCTCATCATAAGAAGCTCAATGCGTCTAGTTTCCTTCTCGGCCGTCCCCTGCACGCGGATATGTTTGAATAGTCGGGCGAGATATTGGGGCTGCGTCTGAAGGCTGAAGAAGAGTTGCTGGTACGATTCCAACTTCTTCCTGGAGCTTTTATTGAGAGCTTTCAGGTCAAATGAATTCGCCGACGCAATAGTTGAGTTGGCCAACAGGCCCATGGAGTGCCCGCCAAAGGTGTGCTGGTGACGCACGACTTCATCAAGCGTGATCTTGTTCTTGACCAGCAGCGCAATTTTGATATCCAGCTGATCAATGTACTGTTCCAGCATCTCGTTCTGTCGTACAGACTGGACTACCGTTTTTCGCATCCGCTCAAACTCGACTTCTTCGTTGAAGTCAAAATCACTGTCGTTCAGCAGATGCACAAAGTTCTTGACGGCGCTGACAGGTGGGTTTTTGCCCGTGGTAAGGCTCTTGTACGCCTCGCCCTGCACCTTGGCACGCATAAAGCTCTGAATCTTGATTACCCTTTTCATATTCTCTTCATAGTACCGCATCTTCTCCTCAAACCGGGCTCTAATCAGGAAAGCTTTAGCAGCGGCTTGGCATATGACAATGGAGTCTTCTTCTTCGAGAAGCTCAGTAAGCAGGTCGTCTATTCTTGCGCGCTCCATCATGGCCTTGAGAATAGCTTGAAACTCGGCTGTCTCTGCATCGTGAGATGCCAGTTCATCCAATATATCAGCGTGGTACCCTCGGTACAGACAGCCTCGAATATGCGCTTGAAGTGTTGTAATTGTCGATTCTTCCTGTTCGAGGTGCTGCTGGATGGCAAGGACTCTATTCCTCTCGAACATGGCTCGTATAAGCGCTTGGAGCTCGATAATCTCGGGCTCATTTTCCTTCAAGCCGTCGAGACGAGTCTCAATGTCTCGCCTCACAGCGGCCGCACGCATCGCTGCTTGGAGCTTGCCAATCATGGGTACATGCTCCGCCAGTTCAGCCTTGAGAACCTCTTGCTGATCTCGAGCAGCGCGGCCACGAATCGCACTTTGGAATGACGTCCATACATCACTCAAAGCGTGAAGATCTTGTTGTTGCTGTTCAACTCTGGCCCTAACGAATGCTGCTCGAGCGGCAGATTGCAGCGATGTGAAAACGTCGGTAAATGATTCAAGCTCCTGTTGCTGCCTCTCGATCCTTGCTCGTACCAATGTCGCTCTCACGGCAGCTTGGAGGTCAGCAACCCCCAGAGTATGTTTCTCTAGCTGGCGTACGTCTTTGCTAATCTGGAGACGCTTCAGCATGCCTCGAGCGAGCGCCTGGAGATTCTGCACTTCCACCGTAGCCTTTTCTGTCTCTTGTTGCTGCATATTCTGAGATTTGCGTAGCATAAAGCCCTTGGCCATAGCTTGAATGGCCCTGATGGGAGCATCGCACGTAGCCATGGTAGACTTGAGGCCCTGCATCTCGTGGCGCACTTTTTGTGCCCTAAGCATGCTCTGAAAGGCCAGGATGGCAGGCTCTGCGGCTTTCCTATCTTGATCACTCTTCTTAAGCTTTCTTCGAACAAGGAATCCGCGGACCAGACTCTGGACGAGGATAGCCGATTGCCTCATTTGTAGCCGGTAGTTCATGACTTCACGAGTGAAGCCACCGCGAATTCTTGCTTGTAGGTCGATAAGCCACTCCTCTTGGTCCCAAAAGCCCTGCATCATCTCGCCAAGTTTCAGCCGGAGCAATGCGCCGCGAAGCTGAGCCTGGAAGTCGATTATTACATCTTCGCTTTCTGCCAGTTCGCGGTCAATCCTCTCCTCCTCCGTCTCCTCTGGTTCTGGCTCTGGTTCGGGGACTCCAAAATCAGCCCCCATATTGCCGAAGCTGGGCATATTAACCCCGAGCATGTCCAAC